GGAGAGAGGAGGAGAGGTGGGACGCACGTCGTACTTCTCGAGCGCCTCGAGGGCCTCCTCTTTCGAGAACCCCATCATGCGGATCGTGCGCACCTCCTCCGTGTCGCCGGCGAACTCGTCAACGGCGGGCGAAGGCGCATTTGCGGCGGGAGCGGCAGTGGCTAGAGGAGGAGGAGGTCCGGGCGGGGGAGCGTACGACGGGACCGAGTCGGCGCTCGTCGGGGCGGCGGCAGCGGCGGTCCTGGACACGCCGACGGGGGCGCCGAGTTGAGGCGGACCGGCATCCATCGACGTCGTCGAGCCCGGGATCGGCGTTGGCGCGGCAAAAGTGTCGTCGAACGTCGCAAACGCGTCGTCGTCGTCGTCGGCGTCCAGGTTGCGCCCCTGCTGGGCCGGCGCCGGCGCCGGCGCCGCGCTCGTCGAGTCAAAGTCGGCAAACGCCGCGTCGTCAAAGTCGGACGTGGCGCCGACGGCCGCGTTGACCTGCGCCGAGTTGCTCGCCGTGCGCGCCGCGTTCTCGCCGCCGCCAAAGTCGTCAAACTCGCTGTCGAACGAGTCGTACAGCGGCTGGGCGGCGGGAGGAGCGGCAGTCGTGGGCTCAGACGACGAGGCCGGGAAGGGCGACGCCGCCGACGAGGTGCTCAGGGCGGCGAACGACGTGTTGAAGTCGTCCTCGGCCGACGCGGCAGGCGCCTCGGCGGCGGCAGACGTAGTCGAGGTGGACGAGGGGACGAGGAACGCGGCGGCAAAGCCGTTGTCGACGGCGGCGGCAGGCGGAAAGGCCGGCACCTCGGGCGGGGTCGGCGCGACTGTGCTGGCCGAGCGCTGCGGCGGCGGCGGTGCCGCACGACGCGTGCTCGAGCCGGCGCCAGGCGACGGGCTGACGGCGGGCGAGGCGGGCTCAAAGCTCGCCGGCGCCTGCGGCTCGAGCATGTGCTCGCTCTCGGCGGTACCGGTCGGCCCGACAACGTGAACGAAGCTCTCGCCCGACTCCGAGTTGGTCGTCGGCTCGTGCTCGCGACGTGCGGCGAGCTCGCGAGTCGCCGACGCGCCAAGGTCGGTCGTCGAGGTGGCACCGCCGGCCGGCGTCGCAAAGCCGCTCGCGCCGGGCGAGGAGGCGCCAGAGCCCGAACGAGGGCGAGTTGCCGCGAACGCCTGCTCGGGGCCGTCGTCCTCGTCGTCCGACGAGTCCGAGAGCGTCGACGCGCCGCCACGGTCCGACTCGACGTCGTCGGCCGCAGCCGACTCGCCAAACACGTCGCCCTCGTCTGCGGCGGCGTCCTCCTCGACAGCGCGGGCCTTGCCCTTGTCGCCGGCAGAACCCGCCGACTCGCGCTCCTCGACCTCGCGCACGGCCTCGGTGAAGCCGGCCTCGGGCTCGATCTCGCCGAGGGTGCCCTCGACCGGGGCCGGGACGTGCTCCTCCTCCTCGGTCGGGCCAGGTGCGGCGGCGGTCGACGAGACAGGCGCGCCGCTTTCGAGGGCGGCAAACTCGTCGTCGAAGCCCGACGCATCCTGCTCGTCAACGACGGTGGCGGTGACCGGCGGCGCCGAGGCGGCAAAATCGTCGCCGAACGCGTCGTCTTCACTCGTGGCGAACGCGGCCGGTGCGACAGGAGCGGCCGACGAGGCGGCAAAGTCGTCGCCGAAGCCGTCGTCGAACGAGGCCTGCGCCGGGGCGGCCGTCGACGCGCCGCTCGTGGGCACGCCAAACGGGTCGGCCTCGACGCCCTCGCGCTTCGAGTCGACCTCCTCGTTCTTGGCGTCGCCCTCGTCCGAGCCGACGCCGAACGCGTGTGCGATCCCGGCGCCGGCCGCGCCGAGCGCCGCGAGCGCACCGGTGCCGACCGCAGCCGCGGCCGCGAGCGGCAGGCTCGTCGACGCCTCGTCCTTGTCGGCCTCCTTGGCCTTGGTCGAGTCGTCGAACGAGGCCGGCGCCGCGTCGCGCGGGAGCGTCTGCTCCTCGTGAGCGGGTGCCGGGGCCGACGCCTGCGACGGCGGGGCCGGGGCCGACGCGAACGCGAACGGGTTCTTGGACACGGTCGGCGACGAGCCCGTGTGCTGGGGCGAGACGCCGCCGCTGCCCATGAGGCGGTCGAACGGGTTCATCGACCGGACGCTGCTCGCCGCCGGGCTGAGTGCGGCTGCGCCCGCCGGCGTGCCCGGGATCGGGACGGCGGCGGCGTGAGCGGCGGCGGCAGTGGGCGCCGTGCGGGCGAGAGCGGCCTCGGCGGCGGCGTCGATCGAGGTCGACGAGGGCGAGTCGAGGGCGGCGGCGAAGGACGAGGGCGGACCGGCGACGGGCACGGGTGCGGGCTCGAGGGGCGGGTTGCGGGCGTCGTCGAGCTCGCGCTCGAGAGTGCCGCGGTCGGTCTCGCCCTGGCTGAGTTGCTTGCGGGCGATGGCGGCGAGGCCCTTGCCCTGGCGCACCTCCTTCTTGGCCTTGTCGATCTCGGCGCGCAGGATGCGCTTCTCCTCCTCGACGATGCCGACGCGGCGCTTGAGGTCGCGCACCTCCTCCTTGTCGCGCAGGACCTCGCCCTCGAGCTCCGACTTCTCCATGCGCAGCGCCGACAGGTCCGACTCGGCGCGGATGAGGTCGGCCTTGGCGCGCTCCTTGAGCGCCGAGCCGTCCTTGAGCCGGGTGCGCAGCTCGTCGACACGCACGAGCTCGGCCTCGTGGGCGGCGCGCGCCGTGCTGATGCGCTCCTGGAGGGCGGCGACCTCGCGGTTGGACGCCTCGACCTGCGCCTCGAGCTCGACGCGCGTCTTGCCCGACTGACCCTGCTTCGACTCGAGCGACGACGCCTCCTGGCGGAGCGAGTCCTCCTGCGCCGAGAGCGCCGACGCCGAGGCGGCGAGGTCGGCGTCGTCGTTGTCGTCGAAGAAGGACGACGACGTCGCGGCGGCGGCGGCGGCGGCGGCCCTCGGCGCCTGCTGCTGCGGCTGGGCCGACTGGCTCGGCGCAAAGTTGCTCTCGAACCCGGAGCTCGAGCCCGCCGCGGCGCCGGCGCCAAAGCCCGACCCGGTCGGCTGCGGGAAGACGGTGCCGCGTAGCGTGTACGACGCGCTGCCGCCGGTCGCCTGCGGGCTGAGGGAACGCTGGCCCTGCCCGGTGAGCTGCGGGCTCATGGCGCGCTGCGGGTACTGCTGCTGGCCCGTGAGCTGCGGGCTCATGGCGCGCATGGGCGCGAGCGGCTGCTGGCCCGTCGCCTGCGGGCTGAGCGTGCCCGTGCGCTGGGGCTGCATGGGCTGGACGGGCGGCGCCTGGGCCGACGACGACACGCCGTCGTCCTCGTCGAGGAGGTCGAGGAGGTCCCGCTGCGGGCCGCTCGGCTGCTGCGGCTGCGGCTGTTGCTGCTGGCGCATCGACGGCGGCACGAGCTCGGTCGGGAGCGAGTCGGGCAGGGGCGTGTTGGGCGCCGAGAGGGCGCGCTTGAGGAGGTGCATGGCGACGGCGAACGTCTCGCGCGTCAGGTGCCCGGCGTTCTGCACGTCGGCGAGATCCCTGTGTGTGGACGTGTCAGTCGCTGACTTAAAGGCTCACACGCGTGTGCGCAAAAGAGGGAGGGGGACAAGCCGACGCACCAGATCTTGGCGAGCTGGTCGACGCCGAGCCCGCTCTGCCCAAAGAACCCGACCGCCTGCTCGCCCTCGATGTGGCCCTTGCGGCCCGACTGCGAGTCGAGCGAGTCGAACCACGTGTTCGAGTCGGCGAGCTCGGCGGGCGTGATGGCCCACGCCGGGCCCTGCTGCTGCTGCTGCTGCGGCTGCTGGCGCTGCTGCTGCTGCTGGACAGGGAGCGACGCCTGGCGGAGCGGGCTCTGTGGGCCTTGAGCCGGCTGCTGCTGCTGGGCCGAGGCCGAGCCGGCGCCGGGCGCGGGAAGGCCGGCGGCGGCGGCGTAGAGCTTGGGGTCGAGGACGGTCGGGAGGGACGAGGCCGGGAGCGAACCGTCGAGGACGAGGTGCAGGAGGTGCATGCCGATCGTAAAGTCGGTCAGGTCGAGGGCGCCGCGCGAGTGCGTGTCGGCGAGGTTCCTGAGGGAGGGCGAGCGCGAGGTCAGGGCGTGCTGCTTGGGCGACGACGGGCGAGAGGGAGACGAGGCGGACGCACCAGACTTGACCGAGCACGTCGTACGGGAGCTGCGTCTTGATCCAGATCTCGCGCGCCTTGTCGCCATCGAGTAGGCCCGCGACCTGGCCACCGTTGGCGCCGGCGAACGCGCGCGCATAGTTGGCCTTGTCGGTCGGCGAGATGGTCGTGAGGCCGGCCGGGGCGGATGGCGGTGCGGCGAGCGACGACTGGCGACTCGGCTGGGCGGGCGAAGAGGGAGCGGGGCCGCCAGGCGCGGGCGAGGACGAGGACGAGGAGCGGAGCGACTCGTCGGCGAGCTGCTGGAGGCGAGCCGGGATCGGGTACTTGTTGAAGCTCGGGAGCGGGCCGGCTGCAGGGTCGTACAAGGCGTGTCAGTGGGACTGCTAGAAGGCGGACTGGAGAGGAAAGGGGCCCGACGCACACTTGGTGACCCACTCTGGCTTGACCTCGGGCGCGCCGGTGCGGTTGCGCTGTTGGGCGTGGCCGATGAGCCGACACGCGACGCCGAAACGGTCGGGCGACAGGAAGCCCGAGTTGTCCGGGTCGGCGATCTGCCACACCTCGCCCAGGAGCAGAGGCGGGAGGCCAGAGTGCGAGAAGAAGGGGACGGCGAGGTCGCCAGCTGTGGGGGGTTGCCACGAGTGAGCGCATGCTCGGGTAGATCTAGGGATGACAGGGACGCACTGAGGACGCCCAGCTGTTGCGTGTCGGCTGTGAGAAGAGTCGAGTGACGAGGGGAGGAGGGGGAGGCGGGTCAGATTCGCGACGGTACACAGTGAGCGAGAGTGGAGCGTACCGCGCTCAAACAGGTACTGGTAGGCGTCCTTCTCGGCCTTGCTCGGCGCGTAGCCTTGCACTGCGAGAGGAGGGGGGAGATGAGGGCGTCAGACCGAGGTGGGGGGGAGGGACGACGACGAGGCGACGCAGAGGGCGCTTGGGGACGCACGTTGAGGTGGAAGCGATTCTTGGGAAGCCATCCGTGCGCACTGGTCGGGCGAGCGGCACGAGGCGAGAGCGGTGGTGAGCAAGGGTGGGCGCGGTGGGTCGGCCAGGCGGCCGTTGTTGCTATTTGACCGAATACGAACGCTGGGACTATTGCCGTTTACTATTCGACCCCGCCCGCCTCGTATCTCGAGCGCCTCGTAGCGGTCTCTGTCTCTCTCTCTCGTTCCTCTCACTCGCTTCGACACCTTTCTCGCTTCTGGCTCGCGCGAAGCGGCTCACTGCTACTTGGCCTGCCCTGCAGTGTGCGTCAGGCAAGGCAGCTTGGGCACAGCGCTCTCGAACCTCGTCTCGCCCTCGTCGCGGCCGCTCCTTCGCGGCGCGATGGTCTGCCACGGTCGCTCTGCTCGCGACCGGCGCCCACCCATGCTGCGTCAGGACCTGACTATATTCTGCTCCCCGGCGCTGGCGCTGTGCCACTCGAGCGGCGCGAGACGCGGCCCCGGTCTCGAGGCTTCCTCGCGGCCAAACCTTGAGGCTACGCTCGTCTTCGCTTGCTGGACGCATATCCGGCCGGCCCCACCTGCTTGCTGCTCAACTTTTCGACTCGATGAGGCGGCTGCACGTTCGAGAAAGGCGGCGGCTGGTTCGCTCTGGAAGCATGCAGTTTGGCGTGCTCTGCGGCCGCCACAGGCTCGAGGTCGCGAGCAACAGCTTTGTGAACGCTTCAGAGGCTGCATACAGCTTCTTGGCTTGCGACTATGCTGCGCTCTCGCTTCGGTGCGACCTGTGCACGCGTCGACGGCGACGATTTCGATCTGGACTGGATGCCGCTCCAACTACGTACGACGCTCGATCGCTCTCTGCTCCCTCTCTACGACGCTCACGAGCCTGCGAACGCAGGTCTTTGACAACCTGCGTGGCTGGGTCGTTGCCGTAAGAGCGAGCGGGCGCGCATGGACGGCAAGCGCAAGGCGGAACGACGGGTCCGTGCGTTGCGGACAGGTGCTCTTCTTGGCTTCTGTGCTCGCCATTTCTGCCGATATCGACCCGGACTCAGCTGCACGGGCCTGTGCTGTTAGGCTGGCGGCCGGACGACCATCAAGCGGCTCGAAAAGATCGTAAAAAACCAGGGACTTCTAGTATGTCTGGCAAACATTATTGCCCGAACTTTGCCCGGCTGGCGCAATCGGTAGCGCACCTGACTTCTATTCAGCTTTTGAACACATCAGGAGGCTGCGGGTTCGAGCCCCGCGTTGGGCTGCTTTTGCCGGGGCCTGGTAAGGGCACTTTCGTAGCAAGCACGCTCCTTCCTTCAAGTTCGGCGGCGACGCCACCTTTTTGCTCTCCGCACGCTGCACATGACCACACTGAACGTGTCGAGTGGATGCACGAGTTGAGAGCTCAAAGGAGACCGGCGCCGCGAGCGTGCGCAGCAAGGCCAGCGACTGGCGGAACTGCGCTTTGGCGCCTCTTGCTCGTCCGCGCCGAGCTCGGGGATGGCTCCGCCAGCACGACGGGAACAGCTGCGTGTCTAGTAGCGCTGGCTGGCATGCACACAGGACGCACCGGCGACGTGCGCAGCTTCCTGACGGTGTCGACGTCGGAAACTTGCGCGCGAAGCTAGCCCGCGAGCGAGCGCTGCAGCTGTCCCGGTCGCTCTTGCTCCGAGGGGAAGATTGTCCAGCTCTTTATGCCGCAGCATGCTTCTTCGCACAGCTCGAGCGCAAGCGGGAGCTCGGATGGACCGTCCAGCTACGAGCGCTGCGGTTACGAGGCGAACAGGCAGGCTGCCCTCGAGCCAGCTGAATCTGGCCGCCGGCAGGACCGGTGAAGCTCAGCAACGAGAGCCACCGTCGCACAGCGCTGTCCAGAGCGGCGTGAACAGTGAAAGATGGACGAAAGGGAGACGGCTCTGCTCGCTTGCTCCCCCTCGCCAAACACCTCGACACGATGGCTTCTACGGCACCAGACGAGTCGAGCACGCGCAAGTTTCGCTGCACGGTCCTGATCAGCGGCTCAGGTGCGTCCCTCGTCCTCTTCCACGCCCTCCCCGTCTTTCCCCTCCTCCTCATCTCTTCGGGCTCGTCACTCGACGGCAACCGCCTGGGGAGATCCCAGCCGCCTCCATTCACCGTCAGAGCGCCGTCCGTCCGCCCTCGCAAGCCGGCGCGCTCCCAACAGCTGCCGTCACCTCGCACGGCTCCCCCGTTTGACTTGCGAAGCGGCTTGCTCACCTCTCTTCCCCCACAACAGGCTCCAACCTGCAAGCCCTCCTCGACGCGACCCAGCTCCCTCCTTCCGACCCTCGCTCCCTGTCGCACTGCGCCATCACCTCGGTCATCTCGTCGCGGTCCGACGCCTACGGCCTCACGCGGGCGCGCACCTTCGGCCCCTCGCCCACGCCCGCCGAGGCGTTCCCGCTCCTGCGATGGAAGAAGCAGCCGGGCAACGAGGGCAAGACGCGCCAGGACTGGGAACTCGACCTCGCGAGCAAGATCCGCGCGACCCGGCCCGACGTCGTCGTCCTCGCCGGGTGGATGCTCATCCTCGGCGAGCGGTTCCTCGAGGCGCTCGTGCGCGACTGGGACGAGTCGACCGCCGGCGCCGACACCCCTACCTCCTCCTCTGCTCCCTCCCTTCCTTCCGTCGACCCGACCGGCGCCTCCATCTCGTCCGGCCTCGCGACGCCCGGCTCGTCGCCTTACTCGCCCTCGCTCGTCGCGCCGCACGACTCGCTCAAGGGCCGCCCGATCCCGATCATCAACCTCCACCCTGCGCTGCCGGGCCATTTCCCCGGCGCACACGCGATCAAGGACGCGTGGGACGCGTTCAACACGCCGTCGGCGTCGGCGCTGCGCTCGGCCACGTCGGACGTGAGTGCGACGCTCGAGGGTCTCGGGGCGCCGCCGGCTGACGGCGCCGCGAGCACGAGGGTGGGAGGGGCCGAGGTCGAGGAGGACGTGCTCGCCGAGGCGGGCGGGCGGCGCATCACGCACACCGGCCTCATGGTGCACCGCGTCATCCCGCTGCTCGACGCCGGTGCGCCCGTCGTCGTGCGCGAGGTCGAGCTCGTCGAGGGCGAGAGCCTGGAGGGGCTCGAGGGCCGCATCCACGCCGTCGAGCACGAGGCCATCGTCGAGGCGGTCGGCGAGGTCGTCCGGCTCGCGAGGAGCGGCGAGTGGTGGGAGGAGGAGGCGGCCGGCGCGAGTCGGACAGCGTGAGGAGCACGCAGCAGATAGACACGCTCAGCAACTTCGGCAGTACCGGCGCGAGAGAGCCTCTTGCGAGAAGTGAGCGGAGCAGCCGAGGCTGGGAGAGCTGCAGCTTGCGGGCCGGTATCTCGCTGCGGTGCTCGACTATGCAGTCACAGGCGACTTGGGCACGCTCGAGCTGCAGTTGGACGCGGTGCGAGAGGTCGAAGTCGAGGTCGACGACGAGCCGGAACCTCGACCAGCTCGCGCCTCGTCCGCGTCGCTCGCACGGCTCACTGCCAGCTGCGCCGAGCCACCGCTGCTCATCGAGGCGTCCCGACCACTCGACCACACCGCGCGCGAGCTGGTCCTCGCCCGCCAACGCGCTCAGCTCGTCGCCGTCTCGCTCGTCAAACACCCGCCGACTCGCCCCCGCCGAGCTCAGCCACGACAAGCAGTACTGTGCTAGCAGCAGCACCGACCTGACCACGCCCCCGCGCCAGCATCAGCCGCGCCCTCGCCCTCTCAACCTCGTCCGCCTCCCCACCAAGCACCGCCCCGCGCCTTCACCATGTCGTCCCAGCAGCTCGTCATCCCGCTCAACGCCCGTGTGCGCGTCACCGCCGGACTCGGACACGTCCGCTTCGTCGGCCAGACGGCTTTCGCCCCGGGCAAGTGGGTCGGCGTCGAGCTCGACGGGCCCGGCGGCAAGAACGACGGCAGCGTTGCCGGCACGCGCTACTTCTCGTGCGCCGAGGGCTGCGGCGTCTTCGTCAAGGACCGCATGGTCACCGTCCTGGACGGGTCGGAGGAAGCAGAGGTGCGCTCCGTGCTCCTCCCCTCCCTCCTCCCTCTGGCCTGCCGTGACCTCTCGCTCTCTGCCAACAGGCCACGCCCGAGTTCAAGGTTCCCGCACTACCGTCAGCAACCTCGTCTCGCCCGATGTCTCGCGCCGCAGGACCTCGTCCGTCGTCGGCTGCTCTCACACCCGCCTCGTCCTCCTCGCGACCCTCGAGTCGCCCGTCCCTCGGCCCAGCCGGCGCTCCTCGTCCTCCCTCGTCCGCATCCGGCGCCGTTCGCCGCCCATCCTCGGTCGCCTCCTCGACCGCGTCGCACTCGCTCGCCGACGCGCGCGCGTCGTCGCCCGTCAAGCCGCCGACCGCGACTGCGACGCCCTCGTCCTCCCGCGCGAGCGCCTCGTCTCGTCCGCCTTCCTCCGCCTCTACCTCCCGCCGCGCCTCTTCTCTCCTCCCTCCACCCTCGCCGCGCCAGGGCACGACCACCTCGCGCCCGACCGGCCTCGTCCCGCCCACCCCGCGCTCGACCACCACCGCGAGCACGAGCGCCGGCGCCGGCCCCGCCTCGACGAGCCGGCTCGCACGCCCGACGCCGACCCCGTCGCCGAGCCCCTCAAAAGCCGCGGCGGCCAACTTTGCCCCGGCGCGACCGCGCGTCGTGCCCGCCACGCCGACCTCGGCGTCGTCGACCCCGGGCGCCGCAGCGCTCCGCACGCCTGGCGCACGTGCGGGCCTCACGATGCCGCTTGGCGGTCCAGGGTCGTCGACCGCGACGAGCGGCGGACCGGGAGGGGCCGCCATGCGGCGTCAGCTGTCGGGCGACTCGGCGGCGTCATCGAGCTCGAGCGTCGGCGGCACAGGCGCCGCTCGCAGCCTTGCGAGCAGGCCGAGAAGCGCAGCGAGCGTGAGCGAGGGAGCGGGAGCGACGATGAGGAGGACGCTGAGTGGGGCGAGCGCGAGGTCGGGCGGCGTGGGCGGGTTCGAGCGCGAGAGGGAGCAAGTCGACCTCGAGGAGGAGGGCCAAGCCGGCCGTGTTGGGTCTGGAGGGGTGGACGGGGCAGAGCCAGCCGTCGATGACGTGCGGCAGGACGAGGAGGCGGCAAGCGACCCGTTCTCGCTGCGGGACACGGGCGCGCGAGGAGCAGCCAAGGCCATCGAGGCCGTGCGTCCCCTCCCTCTCCCTCTCCCCTGCCCCAGTTACTGTACTGACAGACCACCCTCCCGCACCCACCGCGCCTCCCCACCCTCGACCCGACTTGCCCTCCCCTCGTTCCTCTACTGCAGACCGTCCCGCAGCGCCAGCACGACGAGCTTCTCGCCAAGCTGTCGATCCTCGAGCGTCGCCGGGCCGAGGACCGCGAGCGCCTGCGCGAGCTCGACGCACTGCGCGACAAGGCGGGCGAGTGGGAGCGTGTGCGGGAGAAGACGCGCGCGAGGGTGGCAGAGCTGGCGGGCGAGGTCAAGGAGCTCAAGCGCGAGGTCCGTCAACCTTCTCCCCTCTCTGCCTTCCTCTCCCTGGGACTCTGTGACCCGTTCCCTGACCTGAGCGTCTTGCCCGTCGTCGCTCGCGCGCAGAACAAGGACCTCGCCGCCTCGCGCGAGTCGGCCCAGTCGGCGTACGACGACCTCGCCGAGCAGGTCGAGCACAGCCTCCTCGACAAGGAGATCGCCGAGTCGGAGCTGGACGAGGCGCGAGCGCGGCTCAAGGAGCTCGAGGAGCGGGTCGGCGAGCTCGAGGTCGAGGTCGAGGTGGTCAAGGAGGAGAACGGTGCGTCCGCCTTTCGTTCTCTCTCCCTCTCTCCTCGATCGCCAGCCTTACTGGCACAATCTCGGTCTCTGTCGCAGCACGCCTCGAGGGCCTCGGCGACGCCGAGATCGCCCGTTCGGCGGCTGAGGGCGCAGGAGACGGCGCACCCTCTTCTGCTGGCGGACCTTCGTCGCTCGCCTTCCGTCAACTCGAGAAGCAGAACGCGAGGCTCAAGGACGCACTCGTCAGGTGCGCCGCTTGTCCTTCCCTCTGTGTCCCTTTCTCGCCGTCGCGCGAACCTGACACTACCGGATGTGGTCGACGCGCACAGGTTGCGCGACCTGACGGCCGAGAGCGAGGCCGAGCTCAAGCGCAAGGTCGAGTCGATGGAGAAGGAGCTCGACCTCTCGGCGGATCTGCAAGGTGCGCCCTCCTCTCCCTCGCTCGCATTCGCGGCTCCCAGGTTCGCCTTTGGTTGCTCACCAGCCCTTCCTCGCTCGCAGGCGACCTCGACAACATGGCCGTCGAGCTCGAGGAGGCCGAGTCCAAGATCGAGAACCTCAAGGCGCAGCTCGACATTGCTGCCGAGGCGCAGGACATGCTCGAGGAGTTGACCGAGCGCAACATGAAGCTGCACGACGTACGTCCCCCCTCTGCCTCCTCTTCCTCTTCCTCCTCCTCCTCGTACAAGTGACTGACGTGCCTTGCGTGTCGTCGCAGGACAACGAGGTCCTCAAGGCCGACGTTGACGAGCTCGAAGCCCTTCGCGAGCTCGCCGATGAGCTCGAGGAGAGCCACCTCGAGACGGAGAAGCAGCTGCAAGACGAGATCGGTACGCTCCTCTTTCACTCTGTCCTCTCGGCGAGTCGAGGGCACCGCAGACGATTGACGACGAGCGCCCGCACAGACCGCAAGGACCTTCACCTGCAGGAGCTTCGCCGCCGCAACAACTCGCTCGAGGACGCCTGCGTCGACTACGAGGTCACCATCGGCCAGTTCCGCGAGCTCGTCGTCAGCCTGCAGACGTGCGTCGTCGTCTCGCTTCCTCCCTTTCCCCCCTCGCACAGCCGAGGACGCACCCGCTCACGCCCTTCTCTCCCCCGCAGCGATCTCGACCAGCTTCACGAGCACCAGACGACCCAGGCCAACGAGTCGCAGTCGCTCACGAGCCAGTCGCAGGCCATGCTCAACCTCAACCTCAAGCTCCAGTCGACGGTCCTCAAGTCGCAGGTCAAGGCGATCGACCTCGAGTTGCGCAAGCTCGAAGCTCAGCAAGCCGCCGAGCACCTGTCCATCGTCAAGGTACGCTCGGTTTTCTTCCCTCGACCCACGCCCCGACGGACGTGCGCCTCACCCTCTCCTTCCCTCGCAGCCTTACCTCCTTCCGTCCTTCTCCGACTCGGACGCCGCCGCCGTCGACGCCCTCCTCTTCTTCGAGCGCATGGCGTACAAGGTCGACCTCGTCAACGACTTTATCGAGCAGAACCACAGCGTCAGCGAGGCGCTTGACAACGTCGTCCCGGAAGAGCTCGTCCGCATCTGCGAGGTGCGCCGCCTTTCCCCTCCCTCTCGGCATTTCGCCGCCGTCCCCTCCCTCGGGCGCCATCTGACACGAACACTCTCCTGTACAGGCTCGCGCCAAGCTCGCCCACTACGCGGCGCTCAACAAGCGCTTCGCGGCGCACCTGCAGCGCTGCCCGCCCGACGTGTTCCTCAAGATGGGTCGCGTCTACCGCGAGGTCGCCGGGACCGAGCGTCGCGTCGACAGCTTCATCGAGGCGTTGCGCAAGGAGGAGCTCCGCGAGAGCGAGTGCGGCAAGGAGATCGACGGGTGCGCCCCCCTTTCGCTCGAGCCGTCCGTCGACAGCCCCTGACTCGTCCTCCCGGTGCCACAGCTTCATCGCGCAAGCCGAGCACCTCGCCGAGTCGCACTTGCAAGGGCTCGACCCGACTCTCGACCTCGCCGAGCGCGAGCTCGCCTCGATTACGACCCTCGACCTCGACTTTGACACGATTGCCGCCGCCGCTGGCTTCGTCAAGCAGACCATCGCCAGCATCTCTCGCGACTCAGGTCCGTCCCTCTCCTTTCTCTGTGTTGCTCTGGGCAGTCACTCATGTCGAGCCCGCCGCCGCAGATGTCGAGGTCGAGCTCGGAGGAGGCGAGCTGGACGACGCGCTCTTCAAGCCGCTGCAGAACATCGTCAACCACGCCCGCAACGCTAAGGTCCTCACCAAGTACGTCGGCCCCGCCCTCTCTCTGTACGCGCAGGCGCCGTCACTCACGCTCGCCGCCGCACAGGAAACTGCTCCGCCGCTTCGACGACCTCGGCTCGACTTCGTCGGCGCTCAGCGTCGAGCACGCGCAGGGCTTCGAGACGCTCGCTTTTAACAGCAGTACGATCGCTGGAGCGGTGCTCAAGGTGCGCCTCCTCCCTCGCCGAATCTCGTCCGTCCACATCCTGACCCTCGTCGTCCTCCTTCTTCGCGCAGCTCGCGTCCGACATCCAGTACTACTGCGCCGAGGTGCGCTCGACCAAGGAGCCGCTGCAGCTCACGACGCTGCACGGCATCGCCAAGGACGTCGCCGCCGTCGAGCTCGGCAAGCAGTCGCCCCGGCCGCTCGACGAGATCAACGCCCTGCTCGTCCAGCTCGCCCAGAACATCGCCACGACCGTCACGAGCGCGATGGAGCCTGAACATGTCGTCAAATGTGCGTCCTCGCTCTCTGTCTCTCGGTCCTCGCCGCGCTCGCCGACGATCAGGAAGGTCCTGACCCGTCCCTCGCCCCGGTGCGCAGTGTCGTTCGAGGCGCCATGGATCGCGCGTGTCGCCGAGCTGCAGTCGAGCGCTGCCATCAACGTCGACGCCGAGCGCAAGGTCGCACAACTGCAGGACGAGATGCGCGAGCTCGTCCGAGACGTCCGTGTCAAGGTGCGCCCGACCTTCTCTCTCTCTTTCTTGCCTCGACAGCGAGCCTCCCTGACCCCTCGTCTCGTCGACCCTGTCCACAGGAGCAAGCCCATCAAGAAGCGTCGGTCAAGATCGAGCTCATGGAGAAGCGCCTCGAGGGCGTCAAGAAGCAGGCCGAGGCGCTCGCGCAGCTTGAGGGCGAGCTCGCCAAGAGCCGCAAGCAGGAGCGCGCGTACGAGGAGGCGAACGAGGTCCTGCAGCGCGACCTCGACAAGCTCGAGCAGGAGCTTGACAAGCTTAAGCAGAGCGCGGCGGCGGTTAAGAAGCAGGGTGCGTCCTGCTCGCTCTCTGAGTTCAAGCCCGGCACGAGACTGACTCTCGCGCCGCATGCAGGCACGACCACGTCCTCGGGACTGGGCCTCGACCCGTCCGTCTACGAGGGCAGCATGGAAACGTCCTACCTCATCGAGCAAATCTCGTCGCTGCGCTCGGCGGTCCGCTTCCTCCGCCAGGAGAACGCCTACATCAAGTCGCACGACCTCCTCGTCCAGGTCGACGCCCTCCCCTCGTACGACCTGCCGCCGACACCTCCCCTCACGCCCGAGCCGCACGACCCTCTCGACCTCGCCTCGTCCTCCCCCTTCCTCTCCTCCTCTCGCGCCGCGACCAAGTCGCTTCCCTCGCCCTCCTTCGCGATCCGCTCGGCGCAGCTCCTCCGCGAGGCTCGCCTCGTCTCGGCGACGCCCCGCCTCGTCGACGTGTCGCGCGCCGCAACAGGCTCGAGCGCAGCCGGCGACGGGCGCAAGCCGTGGCAGGCCGTGCGGCGGGACCCGCACAGCCAGCTGTGGGCCGAGAAGGAGCGCACGAGGCTCCTCGAGCGCAAGGTGCAGCGCCTGTGGGACGAGCGGCCTCGCGTGGCGACGATGCCGCGAATCGGCGCCTGAGCGCGGGTCGGCCTTTTTCCTTTCCTGTCCCTCTTTCGTCTTTCATCCTCTCTTCGTTCTTTGTTCTCTCTCGCAATGCATACTGCGCAACGTTCTCGACGATAGTGCGGCTGCAGGAGAGCGTCCTTGAGAATCGAGTACAATGCGCGGGAACTACTGCAAGAGGGAGAGCGAGAGGACGAGGTCTACGTGAGGCAGTAGCCGCCGTCGACGAGGATGTCGGACCCGGTGGTGTAGCTGCTCGCGTTGGAGGCCAGGTACTGCGAGCGCGAGACGAGTCAGTTCGAGCGCATCGACGAGAGCGAGTGCAAGCGGGCGAGGACGCACGAGGTACGCCGCCTTGAGCTCCTTGACGTTGCCAGGGCGACCGAACACGCTCAGGCGCTCGACGACCTTCTCGACCTCGGCGTCGGACGGGCCCATGCTGCAGGAAGGCGAGGAAGAGAAGGTCAGTGATTTGAGAAGGTCGATTCCGGCGCTCGCTCGACGAGTCGTCGAGGGCCCGCTTGATCCGGCCCTCGCACTCGCGGTCGCCTCACGAGAGAGAAGAGAAAGTCTGGGACGCACGCCGTGTCGAAGAAGCCGGGCGAGATGCAGTTGACGCGGGCAAAGTTGCGCCAGTCGCGCGCGATCGAGCGGCAGAAGTGGACGACGCCCGCCTTGGAGCTGTTGTACGCCGGCTGGTCGTACGGCACGTTGACGATCCGAGCCGAGATGGACGTCGTCGCGATAAAGGACGCCTTAACGCCCGACTCGGCCGCCTTCTTGAACCACTTTGCGCACGCGCGCGCGCACCAGAACGTCGAGTTGAGGTTGACGTCCATCGTCTGCTTCCACGAGTCGAGCTCGTAGTTCTCGTCGATGCTGCCGGGGACGCCGCCGCCGGCGTTGGCGACGAAGCAGTCGAGGCGCCCAAAGTCGTTGCCGACGGCGTCGATCGTCTTCTCGATGGCGTCGGCGTCGGTCGCGTCGCACTGGTACGCCTTGCACTTGATGCCGAAGCGCTTCGAGAGCTCCTCGGCCTTGGCGTCCTGGTTCCTGCGCCCGATAATGGCCACGTCGCCGCCCGCCTCGGCAATCGCCTCGGCCGTCGCCCAGCCAATCTGTTGCCGCACAAGCTCGAGTCAGTTGTGCGCTTCGCGGTCTCGAGCGCTCGAGGAACGCCTGAGGGGGAGATGCGAGCGGTGGGCGCTGGGAAGAGGGCAGGACGAGGAGGAAGAGCGAGCGACTCACGCCGCTGCCGCCGCCCGTGATCGCCGACACTCGGCCCTTCATCGAGAAGAGGCTGCAGAGGAGGTCTCGCGTCAGGTGTCTGCCCGCCGTCGTGAGAGGAGAGGGCGAGTCGACGCACTCAAAGACGCTGTCCGACAGCTGCGGCGTAGGGCGCGGGAAGTCGCCATCCGAGGGAGAAGACCTGTGTGCGCACAGGGGCGTGTCAGTTCTCTGCTTCGTACGCGTCGAGGTGGCTCGAGAGGTGAGAGAGGACGCACATTGCGAAGAGCGAGGCGAGGTGGGGCGCGGTCGGGTGAGAGAGCGAGAGAGTGGAGGTGGGAGGCGAGGCGTCGAGTTGCGGTTCGAGCGAGCGCGTGCAAGTGTGGAGCAGAGGAGAGCAGGGAGCAGCAGCAGATTGCGCGGTGGGGCGGCCACCAGCGAGCACGCCGAGCTCAGAGCAAGCGAGAGCGGACGACCGTTTCCGTCCGGCTCGTGGGCGTCCGACGCAGCCGCGCAGCCGCGGCTGCGAGGTCGGCAGGCCCGCGTGACGCCCTCGGTGGACGCCTGTGCACCGCTCGCGAAGCGTGCAAGGCCGCGGGCAAAGGTAGCGGGCGAGAGAGAGCAGGTCGGCTGTCGCGGTGGGCCCGGCCGCGGCCGCTCGCCGCGGCTCCGAGTCGCCGTGGACGCCTGCGTGCGGCATCGATGCTCTCGCACGCTCCAGCGTCGCCCGCTTCTGCGTGGATTGAAGAGCGGACAGCAGCGGCCGAGCGGCGAAGAAAGCTCGGCGTGCGCAGGCGAGGAGAGCGGGCGAGAGCGTCGAGAGGGACCGAGCGAGCTGCGAAAACCGCACAGAGATGCTCTCAGATGCTCTCGCGGGACGCAGACGAGCCCAAAGATACAGTCTATTGCACGGCGTGGTCTATCTCCTCGAGGATGCGGTCCGGCCGCAGCATGTGGGCGACGCAGTGGCGCCCGTTCAGGACGTCGTTCTCGAGCGCCTTGGCCTCGGCCGCCTGCTCGTCTGGCGCGAGGCCGGCCTGGACGTGGCGCTTGATGATGCGCCTGAGGGCGACGTCCTCGGGCACGCTGTAGAACCACCGCTCGTCCATCTCGCGCGAGACGTCGGTCCACACGGGCTCGTCGAGGAGGAGGTAGTTGCCCTCGACGACGACGATGCGGTGGTGCGGCTCGATCGTGATCGCGCCGTCGACCGGGTCCTTGTCGGCGTGCGAGAAGGCCGGGGCCGCGAGGCGCTCGTCGGTGCGCAGGCGGCGCACGAGGTCGAGGAGCTTGTCGGGCGCAAAGGTGAAGGGGGCGCCTCGTCGGCGGAAGGACAGCTCTGGGTCTGGGTCGGCTGCGAGCTCGGCTTGGGTGCGGTGGAAGCCGTCCATGGGGAGGATGACGGCGGGCGGCGAGGAGGAGGAGGCGGAGGACGAGTTGAGGTGGTCGAGGAGCTTGGCGGAGAAGGTGCTCTGTAGACGGGGCGCAGCTTGACGTGAGCTCGTTGGCCGCTGGTGGACCGAGAGATGTGAGAGCTGTGCGCACCTTGCCCGAGCCGGGGATGCCTGCGAGTGCGACGAGGTAGCGACGAGGTGGTCGCTCGCCGTCGCCGCTCGACGAGGCGACCTTGTCGAGGAGCGCTCGTGCGAGGACTGCCGGGTCTGCAGGCTGTGGCTCGAGGTCGTCGAAGCTCATGGCGGTCGCGTGTGAGAGCGAGCGTGGGTGTTGGACGCCGAGCGAGGCGCGCGAGCGAGGCAGCAGTCTCGCCCGAGAGCCAGGGGCCGGCGACTGGCGGCGTCGATCGGGCGCGGTACAGCAAGCTGCCCCCCACGCGGAGCCCTGCCTCAGGCGCGCGAACGACGAGGGCGCGGGGCGGAGGTCTCTGCTCCGAGCCCGCCATCAGCTCGCTCTCCCGCACAGGGCGCAAAGCCACCCGCAGAACAGCGAACAACAGCACCCGCTGCAACGCGCCTGCACCCCCGGTCCCGCGCGACACCCCTCCGCCCCACCGCCACGGCACCACCACCCCGACCTCGCCAATGTCGGCCACGGCCTCCCCACCTCCAGGCCAGCGTGGAGCAAGCGCCAACCCGGACGAGGACCTCTTCGAAGGCGGTCGCGCCAAGTACGCCTGCGAGAACTGCCGCCGCCGCAAGCTCAAGGTGCGCCGAACCTCGTCCTCCTCTCGCAGGGGTCCGCCGAGAGCTCACCTTGATCCCGTATGTGCAGTGCACCCGCGATGTTCCCTCGTGCGTCTTCTGCGCAGAGCACCACCACGACTGCGTCTATGTCAAGATCGTGCGCACCCCGCTCACCCGCAAGTGCGTCTCGCCGTCGTCGCCGTCGTCGCTCCTGTCGTCCTCCTCCTCCTGACGGCCGTCCCTGTCCCACAGGAACCTCGACGCCGCAGAACGCAGGATCGCCGAGCTCGAGGACCGCCTGAGCCGCAACCGACCCGTCGGCGTCAAGCGCCGCTCGGACGACAGCGGCTCGACCACCCGTCAACCCTCGCCGCCGCCTTCGTTCATGTCGCCGCCGCTCCCCGTCCTCCACCAGCCCGCCTCGATGCCTCCGCCCATGTCGCACACGCCCGCACTCCACCAGGCGTCGCTCCCTCCTCCCCCTCTTCCTCCTTCCGCCGCCGCCGCCATGCACGCCTCGCCCGCCTCGGCCGTCTCGTCCTCGCCCGGCGCCGGCGGCGGCGGCGGCGCCTTCCACCCGATTGCCGGGCCCTCGTCGCACCTCCCGCCGCCCTCGGCGTCCGACCTCGTCGCGCCCGCCGCGCACCTCCCGTCCTACAGCGGCAGCTCGCCGTTCGCCAACTCGGCCGCCGCGAGCCGCCCGCCGCTCGTGTCGGTCCCGACCGCCTTCTCGTCGGCGTCCGGGTCGTCCATGGTGTCGGTCGCAGGGCCGGAGCTTGCGGCGGGAGCGCAGGTCGACACCACGACCGAGCCAGAGGAGGGCGATGGAATGGGCGCGCTGTCGGTTGAGCCTGGTGGAGGGTCGGGCGCTTACCTCGGTGCGCCCTCATCTTCCCCAGGAGCGTCAGGAGTCGAAAGACAGCGGGACTGACCCTCGGGCGACGCACAGGATCGCTGTCGGGCGCTGCCCTCCTCAACTTTCTGCAACGCTGCGCCGGCGACGTCAACCTCTCGGCGCACGGTTCGGCGGCGGGCAAGGCGGCAGCTTCTCCGACCTCGACTATCGCGTCTGCAACGTGCGTCCCCTCAAGCTCTCTCCCTCTCGAGAAGAGGCTCGTGCGGCCTGACTGACTTCGGTCCCCTGTTCCTCGTCGACAGGCAGATCTTGCCCGAGCAGATGGCGCTCTTCGTCAACTCGTACTTTGCGTGCTACCACCTCCAGTACCCGCTCGTGCACGAGGCGTCGTTCCGGGTGCGTCCCTCGTCCCCTCGTTCGTCGTCGCTCAGGCGATTCGAGTCCTGACCCTCCCTTCCTCCCCTTTCCCTCGCCCTTTCCTTCTACGGCCCTCGCCCGTACAGGCTCAACTCGCCGACATCGTCCCTCGACCTGGCGGCTCTGCGTGCGTCCCAGCCCTCCTATCTCGCCCGACCTTGCGCCCTTGACCGACTCTTCCTCTCTCTCTCCCTGCCGGTACAGCTGGAACCTCCTGCATCAAACGATCCTCGGGCTCGGCAGCATGTGCGTCGTCGGCGCCGAGGGCTACGACGGTGGCGAGGCCGTCGCCCTATACGAGAAGACGGTCGCGAGCATCAAGCCGCACTTGTTCGAGAGCAACTCGCTCACGGCGGTCCAGGTGCGCCCACCTCTCTCTCCTTCCGTTGTACGTCCTAAACGATTCGTACTGACGGCGTCGTCTCCTCGTAGGCCTTTACGCTCCTCGCCAACTACGCGCAAAAGGTCCGTCCCTCGTGGCCTTTTCCTCCTTCTCGGCGCCCTGGCCTGACTCGCCCTTTTCGTGCCACAGCTCAACCATACGGCGAGCGGGAGCGTCTACATCGGTATCGCGCTGAGGATGGCGATAAATATCGGCTTGCACTGCGAGTCGTCGGCGCGCAACCTGTCGGTGTTCGAGCAAGAGCAAAGGTGCGTCCCGAGCTTTTCCCGCCCCTCCCTTTCGTTGCCGAGATGAGCGGAGAGCGTGGGCTGACTCTCCTCTTTCCCTGCGCAGGCGCCGAGTCTGGTGGACCCTGTTCTGCTTCGAGTCGGGCTCGTCCATCACGTTCTCGCACCCGTCGACCCTGCCGACGGCCGGCGTCGACGTCCTCCCGCTCGCCAACGTCCACGACGCCTACTTTACGCCGGCGGCCCTCTCTCGCCCGCACAGCGTCGACTCGGCGACGCCCTACTCGTCGCTCCTCCACCAGGTCTACTTTGCCCAGTTCGCCATCTCTGTCGTCCAGTACCTCACGACGGCGCAGCAGCACACGATCACGCCCGCCGACATCCAGCGCCTGTACCGCGACCTCGACGTGTTCCAGGCCTCGCTGTCGCCCTACTTTTTCCGCGACTCGGCGCCCTGGTTCGACTTTGCGCGCGCAAAGCTGTGCTGGCGCCTCGACAACTTGCGCATGATCATCCTGCGCCAGACGTTCCTCAAGGTGTCGCTCGGCCAGGGCGACGCGACGCAGGAGGAGGAGCAGATCTTTGAGCGGTGCGTCGCGTGCGCCGGCGAGGTCATTCGGTCGGTGCAGCGCTTCACCGAGGCTCGCCCGAGGAGCGCCATGGAGTGGTGGTACTGCCTGTACGTCTCGAGCCCCTCTCTCTCTCTCTCTCTCTTTCAGCCGGGCCGCTCTGACATTTCCTTTCTCGCCCTGCCCTCTTTCCCTCCCTCCTCCCATCCACGTCCTCCCATCCACCTCCTCCCATCCACCTCCTCGCAGACACTTCCTCTTCCCGGCCGCCTTTGTCCCCCTCATCGCCCTGCGCGTTCGCCCCTCTGCGCCCGCCGCCGTCGACTGGATCGTCGCCGTACAGTCGTCGCGAGGCGTCCTCGAGCGGGTCCAGCACGCCCTCCTCAAGCCTCTCGCGTCGCGCTGCCTCGCCATCATTTCGGCCGTCGCCGACGTCGAGTCCAAGGGCAACACCGAGGTCTCGGCCGCCCCTATGGACCCCGACTTTGCGAGCTTCTTGGAGCGACTCGCCGCGCCGCCCGAGAGCAGCGAGGGCATGCCGTCGCTTGCGCTCCAGGCGCCGTGGCAGGCGCCTGGGCTCATGACGGACCTCGACGCGCTCTTTGCGTGGTTCACGCCGCCGAACGGCTCGCCGCAGCCCGGCTTGTAGATCCCCCTCCCTCGTCCCTCTTGCCGTCGTCGCCGTCGCCAGATCCTTGTTGTCGTCCCTATCTGTCATCGAGCCTTGCGCTTTCTCTCGCTCTTTGTGAGAGTCTCGAGAGCGTGTACAGGTGTGATACAGGTCCGAGAGGAAGGATCTACAGAGTCTAAGAAAGTCGCTCGCTCGCGTGCGCTCGAGCCTCGCCTCACTCGTCCTGGTCCTCGAGGCGCTCGCGCTCGCCGGCCTCCCGGATCGCCCACGTCAACTCGTACGTCTGGAGGGCCTGCTCGTACGTGCACGAGGGCGTGCCGGCGAGGAGGCGGTCGATCTGGGTCTGGAACGGGTCGTCGTTCGCAAAGGCGTGGACCTCGACTGTGGGACGAACGAGAGAGGGCGAGTCAGGCATCGCTCGACAAAGGTCGCGCTTGACGAGAGTACAGAGAGAGGGCGAGAGACGCACCTTCGGCGCCCTGGTCGGACTGGCGGATGAAGAGGCGCGGCGTCGGCGTGTACATGTCGACGAGGCGGAACGTCGTGCCGTCGCAGATGACCTCGAACTCGGTGTCGTACGTGTTGCCGTGCAGGCCGACGACGTGCGTGAGGGACCCGACCGCGCCGGCCTTGTACTTCCAAACGGCCGACGTGTACCTCGGGATCCGGCACTCGGGCTGAACGGTCGCCTCCTCGTCAAAGCCGAGCTTGGACAGCTTGCCCGGCGCGTCCGAGTGCTCGACCGTATGCGTGCGCACCGACTTGAGGCGAGCTGCGCCGCCGAACAGGAGCGAGAGCGACGCGAGGTGCGTCGCCTGCTCGACGATCGGCCCGCACGAGATGACCTTGTTCCACCATGCGGGCTTGGTAGCGAACTCGTACGCCATGTAGTACTGCAACGGCACGAGAGCGAGTCAGTGAAGGTCGAGACGGGCAGAGACCGCCGAGGAGAGAGAGAGGGCGAGAGCGAGGACGCACCCGTGCCGCCGTCCCCATGACCGTCAAGCCCTTGTCCTGGATCATCTTCTTGATCATGTCCACGCCCTTGAGCGCCGTCATCATGTAGCCGCACCCGACGACGGCGCCGCTCGCGTTGTACGCCTCGAGGACCTTGCTCTGGCCGGCGAGCTTCGACGGCTGCGCCGCGCTCACGGGCTTCTCGACGAGCCAGTGCTTGGTCTTGGGCAGGGCGCCGAGCAGGCGAAGGTCGAGGTCGGCTGGCGGGGCAGCGCAACCGCGGAAGTGCGGCGGCGCGCCGACAATGACGAGGTCGACCGCGCAGTCGGCTCCGAGCGCCTCGCCCGCGAGCTCCGGCGTCGGCCAGATGGCCGTCTTGTCGTAGCCGGGGACGCCGGCCGCCTTCTTGAGCTCGATCTGCTTCTCGGCGCGCGCCGAGTCCGGGTCGACGATGCCGAGGACGCTGAGCGACTGGCCGAACGAGCTCTCGACGCGCTTAGAGTGGTTCCACGGGCCTTCTGCCGAGCCAAAGTTGATCTGTGTCGGGCAAGATACGCAAGTCAGTACGTCTGTACCGGTGGCTCGACGCTGCTCGACTCGCGTAAGGGCGAGAGGGCGAGAACGAGGCGAACGAAGCAGCGCGGCCGGCTCGCCTTGTCCTCCACCTCTCGCTACCTCGCCAGCCCGGCCGCACGCTTGCCCTGCCCTCGCAGACCCGCTCCAAGCCCTCGCTGGCGCTGTTCCACCAGCTGGATCCGCGGTGCTGGCCTCGACCGAGTCGCTCGACGGGAGGAGGAGGAGATGAGGGAGCGCACCTCGCCTGCGCCGACGAAGACGACCTTGAACGGTGCGGGAGACATGGTTTGCTGGTCGAGGTGGAGCGTGGAGCGTGCAGCGAGAGCAGGGAGGCGGCCAGAGCAGTGCACGAGAGGGGAGTCGCCTCTCGCCCGCCCGCCCGTTCGCCGCGGCCGCCCGCCGAGCGGTGGACGAGGCACGTGCGTCGAAACGCACGGATGGCGTTCTGCCGTCGTCGGTCGACTGCTCACCGTCGAGCCCTGTGACGCTCACTCGTGGACGATCGATCTGGCGCCAGATCTGGCGCCGAGAGGTTTCGCTGCCCCCACTCTGCTCGGAGGCCGACCTTCTTCTCGCGAGCTTCCGCTGCAGCCTCCGGATGGGTGCGGCCGCGCATCGTCCCACTCGGACGACAGGCGCGGTGGCTCGCTCTTGTCCGGCCTGCCCCTTCCAGGAACGAGCCGGGGCGCAGCTCAGCGCCGCCGCCACTTTGGCCCCCCAAGTTTGCCCCGCTCCTCCGCCGCGCTTCTCTCTTCCCCAGACGCTCCTCGCTCGCTTCTCTCTCCAAACATCCTCCAAGCCTGCGCGACGACGACCATCATGGACGCCCAGCGACCCTCCAAGGTCATGGCCTTTGCCTGCGGCATGTGAGTCGAAACTCGCCCGAGGTCACGATCCTCGCCGAACTTCCCTACTGACGCGTCCTCTCACCTCGTACAGGTTCTCTGCCTTCGGGTGCGCTTAATCTCTCTCGTCCACCGAGGAGGCTGCGGCAAAGCCTTGAGCGACGGTCGAAGCCGTGCCGCTCAAGCCTTTCGCCCGACGTCTCGCTCCGCCTCCTCGCACGCCCTGACCTCCTTCGCTTGCGCTCGCAGTGGCTTCCTCTTCGGCTATGGTGCGTCGACACCTCTCTCTCACCGTCTCTCGAGGTGTCGGACAAAGGCCATCCTTCGTCGAGGCTCAGTGCCGGCATCCAAAGCCTCCTTCTCGTTCGTCGACTGACTCGCTCCTGGCGCCTCGTCCTCTCCTTCCGTCTCGCGCAGACACCGGCTACATCTCTGGCTTGAAGGTGAGCACATTTGCCGGTCTCTGACAAGTCGGCGCGAGTCGAGCCGGCGCAGGAACTGATGATTCGTCCCTCGCACCCGGCGCTCGTCAATCCTGCAGGCGATGCCGTATTTCCTCACTCAGTACGGTGATCTTCAGCCCAACGGCGAGTACAAGCTCAGCACCTCGACCGACTCGCTCATTGTACGTCCCTCCTGCCTGCTCGGCCAAGCACGAGCGGTATTGACTAGGGCCCTCCTCGCAGACCTCGATCCTGTCCGCCGGTACTTTCTTCGGCGCCATCTGCTCCGGCTTCGTCGGCAACAAGCTCGGTCGCCGCGTCGGCATCTGGTGCTACCTCGTCCTGTTCTGCGCCGGTGTTGCCATGCAAACGGCGGCGACCGACGTCCCGCTCTTCACGGTCGGCCGTGTCTTTGCCGGTCTCGGCGTTGGCGGTGTCTCGTGCCTCGTCCCCATCGTACGTCCACAGCTCTCAGAAGCGGTTCGACCCACGAGAAACCCTCACTGACCTTGGCCTTCCCCATCTCGCAGTACCAGTCCGAGTGCGCGCCCAAAGCGTGGCGCGGCTTCATCGTCAGCGCCTACCAATGGTTCATCACGAGTACGTCCCTACTCTTTTGACCGTCGAGAGGGTCGCTGGGGACGTGCGCGAGGTCGAGGGACCGAGCGCCCGACCAATCGCTCGAGGGACGCCGTACTGACTCTCTTCCTCTCCCTGCACAGTTGGTCTCCTGATCGCTGCCATCGTCGTCGAGCGCACCAAGGACCGCCCTGACGCATCGTGCTGGCAAATTCCCATTGGTATCCAGGTCCGTCCCTTCTTCCCTCATGCGCGAGGGTTTTCCGGCCGCGCGTGTCACCTCTCCTCGAGCCCGACTGACATTCTTCTTCTCTACTCGCCATTCTTCTTCTCTACTCGCAGTTCGTCTGGGCCGCCATCCTCGGCGGTGGGCTGCTCTTCCTTCCCGAGTCGCCCCGTTGGCTCCTCGTCACTGGTCGCGACGAGCGCGCTCGTCACTCTCTCGCCCGCCTCTTCCGCCTCCCCGAGAACTCGCCCTACGTCGCCGAGGAGTACGCCAACATCGCCGCCAACGTTCACCACGAGTCGACCCTCGGCAAGGTGTCGTACAGCCGGCTGCTCTTCAAGTCGGACGAGCAGCGCCTTCCTCTTCGCGTCTGGACCGGCTGCGCCCTCCAGGCCCTCCAGCAGCTCTCCGGCATCAACTTCAGTGCGTCCCTCGCCCTCTTCCGAATGTCGGTGCGGCGAGGCGGGCCGTCGACGACGACGACCTTGACTTGGGAAGGTCGACCTGACTGACCTCTCTCGCCCTCTCCTCCCCCTCTTGTTCTTCTCCTTTCCCGCAGTCTTCTACTACGGCACGACGTAAGTCTTTTGCGCCGTTCACCGTGAGGACGACAAGCTCACCCCTCTTCCCGTCCCACAGCTTCTTCCAGAACTCGGGCATCAGCAACCCTTTCCTCATCACGATCGCGACGAACGTCGTCAACGGTGCGTCCTCGGCGTCGTCTACAAGTCTACGAGAGCACGACTGACTCTCCTTGTCTCCCTCCCTGTCGTCCCCTCGCAGTCGGCGCCACGGTTCCCGGTGAGCTCTCGCTCTTTCTCCCCGCGACCTCGACCGCGTCCGCGAGCTGTCGGACGACCGCGTCCGCGAGTTGTCGGACGATCAGACGGCTGACTTGCCCTCGTTCGCGTCGCAGGCATGTTCATGGTCGACAAGCTCGGCCGTCGTTGGACCATGATCTCGGGCGCCATCGGGATGAGCGTCTGCCAAATGATCGTGGCTATCACTGGAACCGTCATTGGCGACGGCGACCCTGCTGGCCAGAAGGTTCTCGTTGCCTTCGTCTGTATCTACATTGCGTGCGACCTTTATCTCCCTGTTTCCCGCACTCGTGGGGCCGGAACTGACGGATCTCGCGCCCACAGATTCTTCGCGGCCATCTGGGGCGTGCGTCCAGCTCCCTCTCTCCCTCGTTGTCTGTCTCGCCGCTGACCCTTTCCTGTCCCGCAGCCGTACGCCTGGGTCATCACCGGCGAGATCGTGCCCAACCGCGTTCGCGGCCAGGCCGTCTCGCTCACGACGGGCACGCAGTGGCTCTTCAACTTCGCCATCGGTTACTCGACGCCCTACCTCGTGGACGAGGGTCCCGGTCGTGCCGGCCTCGGCGCCAAGGTCTTCTTCATTTGGGGAGGATGCTGCGTCATTGCGACCGCCTTTGCCTTCTTGTGCGTCCTTCTCCTCTTCCTCCTCCCCCTCTCCTCCTCTCTCGCCCTCAGTCTTCCCAGCTGTGTACCCTGTACTGACGACGAGCCAACCTGCAGCTTCATCCCCGAGACCAAGGGCCTCTCGCTCGAGCAGGTCGACCTCCTCTACCGGAATTCGTCGATCATCAAGTCCAACTCGTACCGCAAGCGCATCATGGCCGAGAACCTCCAGGACGAGACCCAGGAGGGCTACTACGCCGCCGCGCAGGACAAGAACGCCGGCCAGTTCGGCCACGCCGAGCACGCCGCCAAGCGCGACTTTGACTCGGACGGCCTCGTCGAGAAGCGCTCGGTCTGAGCGTCGTCGCTCGTCGCGACGACTCGGTGCCGTCGAGCGTGTGGGTGCGGCGCGAAGAGGCGCAAGGAGGCGGCTGTACTGTCTCGTTCCCGTCCAGATTCCCTTTCCCGAGCCTGCAAAGACTGTGTTTCCTAGCCTCTCTCGTTCGGCTCGAGCCCGAGAGCCCACAGCCGTGCTCTGCAGTCTTTGCGCTCGTCTCGTGTGCCCGTAGAGAGGCTCTAGCGGGCCCGTCCAGATCCAAATCTCGCTCGTCCCCCCGCACGAGTGCGGCAAACAGCTTTGCGCGAGCGACACACAGCGTGTATGTCTGCAGTGAGTCCTTACCTTGGTGCTGGAGCCGGCGCAGAGCTTCGGTCGGCAGCCGGCCTCCCTCAGGCGAGGTTTGAGCGTCGCGCAAGGTGCTTTCTCGAACCCTGCTCTGCGGCCGCTTCGACCTCGCGCGACGCAACGCCCCCTGTCACCAGTACTGCCGTCGAGACGCACCCGCAACGATGGCGCACGAGGACGGCTCGCTGCGAGAGAGAGAAGCCGCAAGCCGTTCAGGAGGCCCGAGCCGGCGCGCACGGTGATCTAGCGGTCGCGCGCGAGGCATTCGCTCGCTGCGAGCCCCGGAACTCCTGAGGCTCACTCAGAGCAACGAGCATGCGAAGCGCCGAGCACGAGGGACCGCGACTGAGCGAGAGAATGAGAAGGGGAAAGCGGCGACGGCGGCGGACTGAGGCGAGCGTTCGAACGCTGAACTCTGAGCGGCCTTTTCAACACTGAGCTCATCCTCTCGCTATGTCTAGTCGGACACCTCGAGTCTGGCGCGCCGAGAGGGCCGGAGCGAGAAAACCGACTGCTGGGGAGAGATACAGGACAAGCGACGTAGCAGACCAGCACGTAGAGCAGAAGGTGCTGAATTGCGAGCCCGGCTACAGCGAACAGAGCCGACGACGAGAAACGAGGCGAGGCACGTAGACATGCAGATGGGCGAGGCGAAAGGGCAAAGAAGAGGCCAGTTGACGTCGCTCGACGAGGTGGGACAGAGCGAGTAAGAGGAGGAGGCAAGCGCTTGGCCCGTTCATCGGCGTCTCGCCGATAACGACTAGCGACGGGAGAGCGCAGGAGGATCTGAGGAGAGCGAAAGACGGACGAGGAGAGACGGTCGACGCCGGCGCCGGCGAGGAACCGCACCATGCGGCCCTGAGCAAGCCAGGCTGTGCGGCCGCTCGAGAGCCTCTCGTAGAGGCCGAGGGAGAGCTGGCGAGCCGAGAGCCTCGCAAGAGAAGCCGGGAGCACTGGTACGAGCGGTCGGCAGCCGAGGAGCCGCGAGCCGGGTGCTCGTGGGCGCGAGCACATGCAGACGCAGCGAGGGCTGAAGGTCGGCGAGCTATTGCAGCATGAGACCCACAGAGCGCGCGCGCACGCTCAGAGGGAGGGCGCGCTGCGCAGACAGAGTGGGAGAGCGGAGAGCGGGAAGGTGATGACGCGGAGGAGAAGAGCGCGACGGCGACGAGCGGTGACGGTTCGAGCACGAGCGGGTGGGCAGAGAGCACGCGAGGAGATCGAGGGTGCCAGTGTGCAGGCCAGAGGGTTGCGGAGAGAGGGAGAGCGAGTTTAAGCTGCCGAAGTCCCGAGCTCGACGCGGCTGTCTGGCGGCGACGAAGTGCGAGACGAGAGACGATCTCGCCCTTCTCGCCCATCCCCCTGCGCTCGTAGACACCTCCGCGTGCTCTACACCACCCCGACTCTCGTCGCACCTACCCACCCATCATGGCTGACTCTGCTGCCCCGGCTGCCAAGTGAGCCCGCCGTCCCTCTCCCTCCTCTTCGCGCCTTTTTGCCCCCGAGATGGGCCCTCCCTCGCCCCGACACGCCTCGCCGAGTCTCGCCATCGCGTGCACGCGAAACAGCGCATCCTCGAGCCCTGGTTGCGACCGACGGCACACCTCGAATGGGTCGGTGGCGACCTGCAGCGCATCCAGCGAGCTGACCTCTTTGTCCCCCTCCCCCTCCCCCTACCTCGCCCGCTGCCGCTCGTCGCAACAGGCCCGAAGCCCCCGCCGCTGAGGCGCCCGCCCAGACTGGCGGCCTCGAGAACCCGGAGGAGGCCCTCATCGAGTCCAAGTGCGTCGCTCGTCCATCCTCCTCGAGCCGGACCCCGCGCGGGTTGCGACGGGTGGGGCAACCAGTAACTGACCTTGCCCCTCTCTCTCCCTGTCTACAGCTGGGACCAGGTTGTCGAGTGCGTCCATCTCTCGCCGCCTCGTTCGCGTGACCGGCCGCTCATGCCGCTCCCCCCACCTGCAGCAACTTCGACGACATGAACCTCCGCCCCGAGCTCCTCCGCGGCATCTACGCCTACGGGTGCGTCCCCCCATCCTCTCGTCGACGTCGTACATCCACTCACGCTCGTCGCCTCGCAGTTTCGAGCGTCCCTCGGCCATCCAGCAGCGCGCCATCATGCCCGTCGTTGCCGTGCGTCCTCGTCTCGCCCACCTCGTCTCGCGACGACCTGCGCCCTGACACTCTCTTCCTCCTCTACCACAGGGCCACGACGTCATCGCCCAGGCCCAGTCGGGTACTGGCAAGACCGCCACCTTCTCGGTCTCGATCCTCCAGTCGATCGACGTCTCGCTCAAGCAGCCCCAGGCCCTCGTCCTCGCGCCGACCCGTGAGCTCGCGCAGCAGATCCAGAAGGTCGTCGTCGCCCTCGGCGACTACATGAACATCGAGTGCTTCGCCGCGGTCGGCGGCACGTCGGTCCGCGAGGCCATGGCCAAGCTGCAGGAGGGCGTCCACGTCATTGTCGGCACCCCGGGCCGCGTGTTCGACATGATCCAGCGCCGCGCTCTCAAGACCGACCACATCAAGATCTTCTGCCTCGACGAGGCCGACGAGATGTTGTCGCGCGGGTTCAAAGACCAGATCTACGACGTGTTCCAGTTGCTCCCGCCGACGACCCAGGTCGTCCTCCTGTCGGCCACCATGCCCGCCGACGTCCTCGAGGTCACGACCAAGTTCATGCGCGACCCGATCCGCATCCTCGTCAAGCGCGACGAGCTCACCCTCGAGGGCATCAAGCAGTTCTACATTGCCGTCGAGAAGGAGGACTGGAAGCTCGAGACGCTTTCGGACCTGTACGAGACCGTCACCATCACCCAGGCCGTCATCTTCTGCAACACCCGCAGGAAGGTCGACTGGCTCACCGAGAAGCTCCAGGCGCGCGAGTTCACCGTCTCGGGTCCGTCCCTCTCCCTCTCTCTCTCTGTCGGTGGGTCCGTGGCCTGACTCTCTCTCTCGCAGCGATGCACGGCGACATGGAGCAGGGCCAGCGCGAGGTCATCATGAAGGAGTTCCGCTCGGGCTCGTCGCGCGTCCTCATCACGACCGACCTCCTCGCCCGTGGTATCGACGTCCAGCAGGTCTCGCTCGTGCGTCCCACCCTCTCTTTCCTCTTCCTTGTTCTCGACCTGACCCACACCCTCTCGTGCAGGTCATCAACTACGACCTCCCGTCGTCGCGCGAGAACTACATCCACCGCATCGGTCGCGGCGGTCGCTTCGGTCGCAAGGGCGTCGCCATCAACTTTGTCACCACCGAGGACGTCCCCGCCCTCCGCGACATCGAGCGGTTCTACAACACCCAAATCGACGAGATGCCCATGAACGTCGCCGACCTCGTGCGTCCCTCTGTCTTTCTCGCCGCGTGCCTCGTCCTTGAGCGTCTCTCACTAACTCGCTCCTCGCCTCACCGCAGATCTAAGCGTCTCATCGACATCGTCTCGCTCGTCCTCGTGCGACACGACGGAGGGAGGGTGGGACCGGTCGGCGTGTGAGACGCAGAACGCGAGAAAGGAGGCGGCGCCCTTCCGACTTTCGCTCCTCGCCCTCGACCGTCGACTCCCTGTCCTCCTCCCACCCTTTCTCTCTGCTACCCGCACCCTAGAGTCCCTCCTCCTCTTTCGCACCCTGTGCTCTTCCTCTGCACCCCCTCTCCTCTCCGTACCTACCTTTCACCCTCCCCCGTTAAAAGCCTGGCGACCCGCCCTCTTCCTCTCCTCCCGCTTTACTCCCCCTCTCTCTCTCACCTATCTCCCCCTCTACCCCCTTTCACCGTAGCTGGCACTGTAACCCTTCACCTTCCGTCCCCACCTGCCTGCTCTCGTGCGCGCTCGCTCGTCTCCCTCGTCGAGAGATTTCGGCTCCCGGACCTCTTCCTGCGCCTGTCGTGGCGGACCTGGCCCTGCGCTTCTCGCACTGTCAAAGCGAGAGAACAAGCACGTCGTCGTCGAGAATAGCTGGCTCTCGCCGCTGAACGCGAGCGAGCGCCTGGTCCGCCACTTGCGCAGTCGCCGCTCCCCGCCTCAGCTCGCCGTCGTCCTCTCTCGCTCGCAAGCTCACCAACTCAACCATGTTCCTGTGCCTCCCGATCGTCTTTGGCGTCAACACCAAGTGAGTCGACGCGACCCCTGCACCTTGCGCCAGACGAGCGACGACCGCCCGGCTGAACCCCTCTCTCGTCGTCGTCGCGCAGGCTCAAGCAGGAGGGCGACGAGGTCCGCCCGTGCCAGAACTGCCACAACCGCTCGTGCGTCAAGGTCAAGCGCTCCAAGCGCTTCGAGCTCTTCTGGGTCCCGCTGTGCGTCTCTCTCTCGCCTGATGACGACGGCGGACCTTGGCGGGCACTGACGCTCTCCTCGCTACAGGATCCCGCTCGGGAGCAAGCACGTCTGGATGGTGAGCTGTCTCTCTCCCTTCTCGCGCAACTCGAGCTGACTCTCGATCCGCCGTTGCAGTGCCACATCTGCAGTGCGTCCGCGTCCCCACCTCCTCCTTCGCCTCGCCCCGCCGCCTCACGACGAGCCTCACTGACCCGTCCCTCGCTCCCGCACACTCGCAGAGGTCTCCTACGCCGCGGACCCGGCCGAGAAGGACGCGCCCGCCTCGGCGCAGCACGCCGCCGCCGCGCCGCACGGTGGCCAGCCTGCTCCGGGACGAGGGTACGACGTCGGCTACCAGGGCCAGGGCGCCAAGGTTTGAGCCTGCGCCCGGTGGCGAGCGCGTGGGTGTCCATAGCTTTTTGTACGACTTTATGCACCGTCGAGCGGCTTGTTGTTCTCTCTCGAGACGCTCTCAGCCACGCAGAGAGCATAGAGACCTTGAGAGCTACGGAACGACTCGTTACTGCATTGGTCACTTCTCGATGTACAGGGAAGAGAACCCGCCTCCTCTCAGAGCTCGACCGTCCGGATCCTTGTGCCGGGCACGATCCCCCTCCTCTTGGCCGCCGCCGTCCCTCCCTCCTTGGCCGCCGCGCCGTGTCGGTCGCTGAGCGCCTTCTCGACGTCCGACGTCAGGGCGCCGTAGAAGCCGTACCCGTCCGAGTACGACAGCTCGTCCTCGGCGCGCCGCGTGTCGGCGTGCAGGTGCGTGATGGGCTGGCCCGTCTTGGCGTCGATCTCGCCTGCAAAGTGGTCGACGAAGCGCTGTGTACGGCGGGCGAGGGAAGAGAGAGAGGGGAGGTATCGAGGCGAGGTCAGTGCCGAGTCGAGGGCTGGACGGAGAAAGAGAAGGGGCGCGAGCGCACCGAGTTGGGCTTGCGGGTCGCCTCCTGGTGGAGCTGCTTGAGGAGCCGGTGCACCTCGACAAAGTAGACCTGGAGCGCGTCGAGGTACCGCTGCGTCTGGCGGTGCTTGGACGAGGCGACGACCGAGATCGAGTCGTCCTGTTGACGACGGGGCCGAGGCAAGGTGAGCTCGCCGCCTTGACATGGACACGGCGACGCGAGAGAAGGGAAGAGAGAGAGGGAGGAGATAGAAGGAGAGGGAGCGAGGAGAGGGAAGAGGGAGAGAGAAAGAAGGGAGAGGGAAAAGAGGGAGGACGCACCTTGATGATGTAGCCGATGCCGAGACCGTCGGCGACGACAGGGCCAAAGCCAAACAGGCGCAGCGACACATTGCCGCAGTTGGACGTGCTGAGCGTGCTGTGGCCGAGCTGGGCGTAGCCCGGGTCCTTGAAGAGCTCGGGGATGCGCTCGGCAATCTTGAGGCTCACCTCGTCGGCCTCGTCCGACGACTCGCTCTCGCTCGACGACGACGACGACTCGTGCAGGTCGCCGTTCGACAGGGCGCGTTGGCGCTTCTCGCGCGCCTGCTGCGCGAGGCAATACATGGCGTACAGGATGCGGTCCTGACCGAGGCCCTTTGAGCACTGCCGCGTGAGCTCGGTGTGCGCCTTGCACGCCTTGCGCAGGGCGTCGATCTTCTCCCTCGGCGACGCCTCGGAGCAGAACGTCTTGACAAAGGCGACCGACCTGCAGGGGGAGAACGGGCGAGTCAGGCATGGCTCCTCGAGCGGCAAGAGAGGGAGAGAGGCGAGGAGCGTACTCGGGCGTGACGGAACGGACGGCCTCGGTGCGGCCGTGCAGGAACGCCTTGGTCATGGCGGGCTCGTACACGCACTCGATGCGGCCGTACAGCGAGAAGTAGGCGGCCTGGTACGCCATCTGGACGAACGCGTCGGGCGAAAAGCCGTGCTCTGCGACGACGAGGGACGAGAGCTTGTCAGTGATGGATGCCCGAGAGAAGAGGAGGAGGAAGGAGGAAGAGAGGGGACGCACGCGTGATGGCGTTCTTGCCGTACACGTCAAACTCGAGCGCGACCGCCTCGTTCTGGCAGATGAGGTCTGACAACCTCGTCTCGGCAAAGCGCTGCAGGTGCGACGTCTCGGTCAGTCACGCTGTACGAGTGCGCAGTGACGTAGGAAAGAGAGGAGGAGAGAGGAGGACGCACGACGGCCATCTTGAGCTCCGGCGTCATGATCCACTCGAGCTTCTTGGGCGCGACGTCGATCTCCTCGGGCTCGCCGTCCTTGACGGCGTCGGCCGGGGCCGCCTTCTTGCCCGGTCCACCCTTAGCCCACGGCGACAGCTTGGCCTTGAAGAGGCCGGCGGCGGCCGGGTTGATCGAGCGGGCGAAGCGCAGGATGAGCTCGGTGTAGACGTCGGCGACGTAGCTGCGGTCAGGCACGCTCGAGGAGGGTCAGATTGTGACAAAGACGAGGGGGCGAGAGAGAGAGAGAGAGAGGAGGGAGCGAGGACGCACCGCAGGACCGTGTGCCCGTCGACGCCGCTGTGCTCAAAGTTGACGCCCGCCGCGCCGTTTGCCGCGACGATGATCTGGAGCTGCAGGTCGGACATCGAGAGTGTCAGGCGAGGCTCGAGACGTGACGAGTCGAGGCCGAGGAAAGGAGAGGAAGGCCGAGCGCACCTTGTCGTACCACCGGTTCGTGCACGTCCCGACCTGGACGCCCTTCTCGAGCTTGTACGTGCCGCACAGCATGTTGTTGCACATCTCGCTCGCCGTCTCGGGGCTCGTGTCGTCGAGCGCGACGACGAACAAGGCCTTGTCGATGACGTCGAGGCACATGGCGTTGCCCTCGTTCTTCATGAGGCCGGCGCGGCACGACGCCCACGTTGCCCGGCGCTCGGTCGACAGGACGCCGAGGGCCGACTGCGCGACTTGGTTCGGCGGCGTGCGGCCGGCGTCGGCGACGATGGCCGTCAGGTTCGACAGGAGGGCGCGCTCGGTGAGCGCGGGTCGGTGCTTCGAGTCGAGGACCTGCGTGATTGGCAAGAGCGTGAGTTCACGTCGCTCTTCTCGACGGCCGAACACAGAGAGAGATAGAGAGAGAGGAGGACGCACCTCGAACCAGTAGAACTGCCCTCGGCAGAGGACGACGATGTGGCGGCTCTCCGGGTCGATCTGCAGCCTGCAGCCCGTGCGCGTCGGGATGCGCGCCGCGCCGAACAGCTTCTGGTACTGACTCATGTCGAGGGGCGTGCCGCGGACCTGGTCGGGCTCGAGTTGGCCGGTGCGCAGGTCGTGGATGAAGGACAGCGAGGCGAGGATGAGCGACGTGGCGCGCATGAGCTGGTTGCCGCGTGCAGGTGTCGGGTCGTCCCTGCGAATTGCAGAAGCTGTGAGTCCTCGTCCATGCAACATGACGCCGCCGCTCTCTGCACGAGTGCAGGGAACAAGGAGCGAGATTGGGAGGAAGAGGACGCACTCGAGGATGAAGAAGGGGTTGAGGGACAGGACGACCGACTCGGAATGGCTCAAGTAGCTCTCGGTCTGCGTTCGCCATGGCCGGCCCATCAGTCCCTGCCTCGCTCGCATCGAAAGGGGGCCGAGAGAGAGAGAGAGAGAGGCGACGCACCCACCACTCCTCGATGTAGCTCGCCCTGCCCGCCGCATACTCCTTGAGGCGATGATGCAATTCAGGACCCTCGTGCTCCTGGAAGTCTTTGACGGCCTGCTTGGTGCGCTCGTGCTCGGCGGGCGACTGCGCGAGGAGGGAAGCGGGGGTCAGTGAGGAGGACGAGGAGGATGAGGGTGGTGGTGCTGCGAGGGCGGCGCTGGTGGTGGGTACCCGTCGTGGACCCTCTCTGCTCCATAGAGCACCCCCCTGCGCACTGCCCAGCCGCTCTCGCCGCCGAGCCCACCTCGATGCGCTCATCGTCCGCACCTCCTCGCCCTTCTCCCGCTCGCACCACACCGCAACCAGGGGAAAGTGGAGCGCACCTGGAGCGCCTCGAGAGCCTTGAGGTACCGTGCGAGCGTGTCCTCGAGCGGCGGAACGGGGAGCTTGGGCAGGAGGCCTTGGCCCTGGAACGTCTTGCCGGCGGGGAACGAGTTGATGGGCGTCGACGCGACCGTGACGGGGCGGGACGGCATGCGCGGCGAGAGTGCTGGTCGTGCTGGTGGTGCTGGCTGAGCGAGAAGCAGCGAGAGTCGTGCGGCGTGCGGAGAGAGAGAGAGAGCGGCCGCGACTTGTTGCTTCTCCCTCGGCCTCGGAACTGTTCTCGAGCGCGCGCGCAGACGACAAGTGTCGTCGTTCCGAGGTGGGGACGAGCCAGATCTCCGAGTCGGGCAAAAGCGGGGTGCGGAAGTGTGGCCAGGCGAGATCCAAAGCGCGCGGACTTTGCTCCAGCGCGGTCTGCACCGCTCCTTGCGACGCTCTCCAAGCCTCTCTCGATGTCACGCTGCTCTCGGAAGGAGAGAGCGCGGGAAAGAACGAAGCGAGAGGCCGAGGTCCGTTCGCAAAAGGGCCTCGAAACCGTGCACAGACCTCGGCCAATTGAAAGCCCCAGCTCGCGCGCCATGAGCGCAAACACAGTCCTCGTTGCAGCCCTCGCAGCTACTCGCGCTTGTCGCCGACCGTGTCGGCCCACCGCGGCGGCACGACCCACTGCGCCTCTCGACCTCGAGCGTCCTTGGCCGTCGACGACGGCGGCGAGGCGGGCGGCAGCTCGGCGTAGTAGGACCGCATGAGGAGGACGAGCATGGCGAGGACGAGGCCGAGCGACGAGTTGACGGTCGAGGGCCACACCGACATGCCGTACTCGATGGCGACGAGGAGGGCGAGGCTGTGCGTGCGACGAGAGGGCGGGTCAGTACGAGTGCTGCGGCGCGAGTGCTGGGCAGTCTGCTCAGCGACGAGCGGCGCGACGACGCGCGCCACCCATCGCAAGATCCTGCCGTCGCTCGCGCGCACCCGAAAAGAGGGGAACCCGCCGACGCACCCTTGACCTCCCTCGACCGCGCCGACGCCGCCGCCGCCGCCGCACACGAGCCAAGGCAGGCTCCACGCGAACCACGCATAGAACTGCGGGTGCAGGCTCCGCGCGCACAGGACGCCCGTCAGGTTCGACAGGAAGAAGACGGTCGCGATGCCTGTGACGAGGGGGAAAGGGGGGCAGACGAGGAAGGTCAGTTCGAGGCGCAGGCCGAGAGAGAATGGGAGAGAAGGGAGGAGAAAGAGAGAGTCGTCGACGCACGCGAGGACGAGAGCCCCGCCGGGCTCGGCTTGCGACCCGGGAACCTCGCCGCGCGCCTGAGCAAGACCGCGACGCCGCCGTCCTCGGCGGCCCACTTCTCGGCCCACAAGACGAGGCCGGCCGCGTGCGCGCCGAGGAGGACCGTGCCCCACCTCGGGTTGTCGAACGCGTCCTCGCCGAGGAAGCGCCAGTTGAGCGTGTAGCGCCAGTCGAACGCGCGCGCAAAGTCGAACGCCTGCGCGCCGTACGTGAGGGCGTGCTCGCGGGTCGTGAGGAAGGGCGACGAGAAGAGGACGAGCGGGAGGACGAGGAGGACGAGGTGCTGGAGGGCGGCGAGGGGCGACAGGTGGACGAAGGCGAGGTAGAAGAGGGCGGGGAGGAAGAGGAGGGCCGACATCTTGATCGACAGGGCGCAGCTGCGCTCGGGACGATCGATCAAGTCAGTACGTGCAACGAGGTGGACTCGTCGCCGCTCAGACACAGGACTCGAGACCGTGCGCACCTGAGCAAGACGGTCCCGAGCATCCACCTCATCTCGACGCCCCGCCGCTCGCCCTTGCCCGTCCCGCCGGCCGGCACCATGTACAGCGCGATGGCCGAGTATACGAGGAGCATGACGACGGCGTCGTTGAACATGCGCAGCAGGTAGATCGAGTGGAGCCGCTTGGACAGCGTGAGGAGGACGAGGGCGTAAGGCGGGATCTGCGGGCCAAGGGTTTCAGAAACTACTCGCACGGTGCGGCACTCGGGCAGCTGGCGAGAGAGAGTCGTTGAGGAAGTGGACGCACACGCTCGTTGCGGCGGTAGATGCCGAAAAAGACAACGGCGAGGGTCGCGAGGTAGACGCCCGCGAACGCCCACTGGGCGCGCTTGAGCTCGTTGCCGCCGTTGGTCAACCAGGACAGGGCCGAATAGACGTAGACGTGGAGCGCCGGGTAGCTGTGGCGTGCGAGGGTCAGTCGCGCTCTCGTGCGAGGAAGGGATCGAGAGCGGGACGAACTAGGCGGGACCCGAGTCGCCCTTGATGAGGTTATAGTCGCGCGCACCGGCGAGGAAGGCTTGTGACTGCTGCAGGTAGGTCGAAAAGTCGATCTCGGTGTCTGTTGCGGGTGAGAAGACGAGGTGAGCAGGTGCGAGGACTGACGCTCGAGAGGAGGGAAACGCGGGGACGCACAGTTGACGTAGCCAACGATGCCATAGCCCAGGACGGCCTCCCACACGAGGAGGAGGGTGGCGACGAGGTCGAAGCAGCGGTTGTGGTCGGTCCAGAGGGCGAGTGGGTGGTCGAGGAGGTAGTCGAGGAGGGAGGGCTCGGCGGGTGCTCGGGCTTTGGGGGGTGTCGGCAAGGGCGAGGGGCCATCGTCGAGCTCTGTGATGCGGCTTGATGCGGTGGCTGGTGTGCTTGTGGGCTGCCGAGGTGGTCGAGGTGGGGAGCGAGCTGGTGGAGGCGACGACGCGCGAGGAGTCGGGAGGGGCACGCCGTACATCTCGCCGGGCGGCTCGGGTCGCTGCTGAAGTTCAGTCGGGGACCAAGGCGCAGCTCGTGAGCCTGGCGAGGGTGTAGAGTGAGAGCGAGAGCGAGTGTTCTCCGTCGTCGCGTTGGTTGCTCGTCGACCCGCGGCCCGCTTCCTCCACCACGTCAAGCGCTCGCTAGAACCGTAAAACTACGCTCAGCGTGGCTCGAAAACCATGTGCAAGGTGCGCCCTCGCCCTCTCGCGTTGTCTTTGTGCGTCCGGCTCATCTCATCTCGCAACAGCACATCCTCAACGCCCAGGCCAGCATCCGCGCTCCGTGCTGCAAGAGGTGGTTCGACGTGAGCACTGCCTTCCCCTTCTCTCCCAGCCCCGACCCGCACAGGAGCTGACCTCGCCCCTCCTCCCTCCCTCCCTCTCCCTCGCGACCGACCACGCCTCCCACCCCGCACCCGCTCAACCTCCTCCACTGCACTCGTACCCACCGCCACAGTGCGCAGAGTGCCACGCCGAGGTGTCGGACCACCCGCTCGCGCGCATGACCGAGATGGCCTTCCTGTGCAAGAAGTGCCGCAAGGCGTTCCGCAAAGACATGGGCCAGTACGAGGACAGCGACGAGTACTGCCCGCACTGCGACAACCATTATGTGCGTCGAAGCTTTCGCCCTTCTCGTCTTGTGCGGCGTCGGCGAGCCGTTGCCGGCGCTGCTTGTCCGAGATCCTGACCGTCCCGACTCTCGACCCTCGCTCACGCCCAGGTCATCGAGGCCAAGACGGCCAACGCCATGCTCACCGTCGAGAGCGAGGACGTGCGCGTCGACAACCGGTGCGTCCCCCTCGCGTTCCCTCCCCATCCTCGTCCCGCTCGGCCCGCTCGTGGCAGCGTCGCCGGCCGTTCAGGCGCACCCGGCGCACAAGCAGCCGGGTCGCCCTGATGCGTGCCTGCGGCATGTCCGACCAAGCACTGACCCTGCCCTCGGACTCGCACACAGGGCTATCAAGGACGACCGCGTCAAGGAGGGCAAGATCGACACCTCGGAACTCGACGACTGGCTTACCCAGCTCGACGGCGCGCCGGGACCGGCACCTGAAGACGCACAGTGAGCGAGTGCACGCCGAGCGGGCTCCCCCAGATCAGACTCTCCCCTCTCCTTGTTGTTCTCGTTCCTGTATCTCGGGCCTTCTTCCTCAAGCAGCTGCATCGCATAGTTCTGCTCTCGGTCCTCTCCTTTCGCCTCGAGCCGCACGAGAGAGCGAGTGAGAGGCTCTACAGCTGCATCGCTCGGCGCCCGTGTCCCGTCTACAGCTCCTCAAAGCTCGCGACCGGCCCCGACCCGCTCCACGCGCCCCACCCCTCTGCGAACCCCTCGCCGCGCCACACCTGCCCGACGAGCCACCAGCCCATGTACCCGCCGATGCCGACGACGAGGAGGAGGTGGATCCAGACGGCGTCGAGCGCGAGCGCGTCGAGGAGCGCCGAGGGCGGCTCGAACCATGCGCGCGGCGAAGGGCGGTCCGAGGGCCCGAGGACGGTGACGGTGAGCGAGTGGACGTAGCCCGGCGTCGTGTTGGCGTGGAGGACGTAGAGGGTCTGGAGCTGTAGACGGTGACGAGGGAAGGCGAGGAGAAAGACGAGATGAGTCCCGATCCCGCTCGGGCGCGAACGTGCGACCGCGAGAAAGAGAGGAAGAGAGAGCCAAGGAACGCACCTCTTCGTCGTAGCGCCACTCGCCGTCGCCATCTCGCAGCTGCACCCTCAACCGCCCGCTCCTCGCCGCCTCGCCGTACCTCCTCGCGGGGAGGAACACCTCGGTCTCCCTCGCGCGGCACTCTGCGCCGACGAGCGGCGGCGCGTCGGGCTCGGCGTCACCCTGTGCGACGGTGGGCACGGATGCGGCGAGCGGGTGCGAGGGCGGGATCGGGTTGAGGTACGAGAGGTGGAAGCGGCGCGTGTGCAGGTCGAACGAGGTGCGCAGGGGGATGCCGGCCGTCTTGCAGGCGTACGGGCGCTGCAAGCGAGTCAAACCGTGAGCCTTGAGTGCGCGAGCATGCACGGAAGAGACAGAGAGAGGAAGAGAGACGCACCTGTACCGCGTCGAGGGCCCGTGCGCCGACGTTGAGCCGCGCCGACTCGCCGCCGTCCTCGGCCGCCTTGAGCGCCTCGGGCGTCACGTCCGACAGCGAGAACCACGAAAAGTTCTCGCCGTTCCACGAGTCGCCCCACTCGTCGTTGTTGAGCGCGTTGTAGTTCCACAGGCTGCGAGGTCGCGCGAACGAGGACAGGGTCAATGAGGGCGCTCGAGCGACCGACTCGACCTCTTTTTCGTCGCGAGGCGAAGAGGAGGGGACGCACTTGAAGTTGCTGAGGCCGGCGTCGCCGATCGCCGAGCAGATTCCGTCGAGCATGCGCTCCTGCCACTGAAAGTCCTTGGTCGCGAACGCCTTCTTCTGGTTGAGGTCGAACGGGACGCCCGTCTCGCCGAGCACGATCGGCGTCTCGCCGAGCTGTCGGTACGCGTGGCGGAGGATGGTCGAGATCTGGAGGGCGTAGCTGCAGAAGGCGAGGGAGGGGTCCGAGAAAGGTCAGGCGAGGCCGCACGGCGAGTGTCATCGGGAGCAGGACGTACTTCTTCTTGAGGCCCTTGCGGCCAAAGTACTGCGCGCGACGAGAGCGAGTCAGGGCACAGGTCGGGCATCGTCGACCACCGGTGGCAGGAGCCGACCGGCCGAGGTCATCGTGGGGGCGACGACGGCAGAGCCGGCGCAGGCGCACGACGGAGCGAGATGAGGGACGCACGAGGGCCTTGAGCAAGAACATGCCCTGCGAGGATGAGGTACGTGCGTCAGAAAGCAGGTCGTCTGAACAAGCGACAGACAGGGCGCTCGGCCGGTCGTCGCAGAGAGAGGACACGTCGCGACGCACCCTCGACAGGCCCTGGACGTTGGCCGTCATGAAGCCGAGCTTCTTCTCGAACAGCGTCTGCAGGTCGTACCAGTGCGGCGCGTAGATTATGCCCTGCGGCCTCGAGGTCGGCGGGAAGGTCGGGCAAAACTGCGGGCACGAGGGGGCTAGTGAGCCGTCGACCAGGGGGCCCAGCTCGACTCGTCACACAAGGCGTCGAAGGCGAACAGAACGAGGAACGGTCGGGCTCACCTCGTTGGGCATCGGCTCGACGAACGTGAACCAGGTCGACGGGTTGGGCGCTCGCCGGATGCGCGCCGAGAACTTGCGCACGAACGGGAAGTAGAAGTCGCTGCGCTCAAGAACGAGGAGGAGGAAGAGTCAGGCTCGTTGGCGCTGCCTGGCGGCCGGGCCCCTCGAGGAGAAGGAAGAGAGAGACGCACCGATACCAGCTGACGTCCTCGCCCTGCTGCCTCCTGCCCCTCCTCCCGCCCTCGCCGCCCTCCATCTCGACGCACCCCTCGAGCACGACGTCGGCCGGGAACCGCCGAAAGTACTCCTGCTTGAGCACGACGCCCTCGCCGACCTCGCCGCGCTGCGCGTCCCACTGCCACACGCCGTGCTCGGCCCACAGGCAGCCCGTCGTCGAGGTTGGGAGAGCGACGTAGGCGGGCGACGAGGGCGTGAGCCAGGCGGTACGCTGTTGAGGCGGGACGAGGAGGACGTGGTGCGTGACGGCGGTGACGGGGAAGGAAGGCGCATAATGCGGAACGAGGACCGAGTGGCCGCTGCCGAGGGCCCACCTGTGTAGCGCGAGAGTCAGTAAGCGGGTAATAGGAGGACCAAGGTGAGAGAGAGAGCGCGAGCACGCACGACTGGACCGCCGACGGGAAGTAGCCGATCGCGAGGTCGGCCGTAAAGTCCCACGCGTACGGCGACAGGAGCTCGATGTAGCCCTTATGCGGCTCGTTCATGACCTGCGGAAGGTAAGGAGTCAGGGCCGGAATGCGGAAGGAAAGCTGGGTCGAGAGGAGGCACGCACCTCGAAGCCCATGACGCCCTCGAGGTCGCGCAACCGGTCCGCCAGCACGCCGAACGCCTCGCACATGCTCTCCTGCAGGAACGTCTGGAGCCCGACCTCGTCGTCGTCGTGGCCGCCCTGGCCCCACTCGCCCTTGTGCAGCCGTCGCCGCACGCGCCGCTTGGGCGCGAACACGTCGCCGCCCCAGAACGCGGTCGCGGCCGTCGCCGCCGCGAGCTTGGTGACGCCGCTCGGCCACACGTTGGGCGGCGGGTCGTGCGGCTCGAGGTGGAGGTTGTGGGCGTGCGCGGCGCCGGTCGCCTTCATGTTGCGCACGTCGAAGCCGACGAGCGACAGGGTCCACATGGGCGCGCCGGACCCGCCGGCGTGTCGGGACCAGACGTCTTGGTGCGCGTCGACGTAGCACCGGATGCCGTACTGCGGGAAGAGCGAGACGAGGGCGTGCAGGTAGGCGATGTAGGCCTGGTCGTGCTCGCCCGGGCCCGCGTGCTCGAGGGCCTCCCAGGTGACGACGAGGCGGATGAACGTGAGGCCCCAGTTGCGCAGTCGTGACAGGTGCTCGTGCCTGTGGGAGAGGGAGCTGTCAGCTGTGCCCGTACGAGCCGGGTGCGGCAGAGGGACAGAGCGAAAGGGAGAGAGGTGGACGCACGATTCCTCGAGAGGCCAAGGCCGGCCGACGAACGACAGGTTGGCGCCGTCAAAGTAGGCGTCGCCCATGTCGAGGTGGGTGAGGCCGTTGGGCTCTGCGGGGAGCTTGTCGAGGCCGCTCACATTGGCGCCGTGGAGGAGGAGCCGCCGACCGTACGAGTCGAGGAAGAAGCGGCCTTTGGACGCGTCGAGCGGGGCAGGGCCGACCGAGGTGCTGGCGAGGGAGGCGGCTGGGGAACTGGTGCTCCCGCAGCGGTAGTCGCTCGCGAGGGACGGATGGTCGACAGGTGGGGGAGGAGGACGAGCAGGCATGGCGACGAGCGGCGGGACCGGCGACCTGCGTCGGTGGGTGTGGACGCTGCCGCGAGCTTCGTAGATGCTCTGCAGCTGTGCAGGCTGACGCTCGGCGGTGTGTGAGGCGAGAGAGCTGCGAGCAGGCCCACCTCTTGGCCTCCTCCTCGTCTACGGCTGTTGCTCGGCCTGGCCCGCACCTGGATGCCCTTGCTGCACCCTAGGACTCCACTGCGCCTCCTTGCGCGTGCTTCGGCGCCCGCTCCACCTCTCGCGCGCCTCGCCAGGTCGACCTCCATCTTCATCAGCAAACTCGCTATTCTCCCCCCGTCAGCACCTCGAGCCCGCGCCAGGTGGACCAGCGGCACCTGTGCATCGGCGGCGACCCGAAGCCAAGCTCGCAGCACGCGTAGCGGGTCTGCAGGACGCGACCTGTGCCCTCTCGGCTGCGGCGGTCCTGCCCGCTCTCGCGCTCGACAGGCTTGCCGCATAGCGCCTGAGCATCGCCGTCGTGCAGCCCCACGTCGCTTGCTCAGGATGTGGAGCCACCGCGCGAGCAGGACCAGGCCTGTCGCGCGAGCAGGCTCGCACTCGGGCTCTCGCTCGTGCACACAATGTGCGCCTGCAGCTCGCGCCCGCCTCTCGCGTTCTGTCCTTGCGGCACACTACCGCGCACAGCTGCGCGAGCGGGTCGAGCCAGGCAGCTTGACCGCAGAGCAAGGGCGTGGCGACCCTGCCCCCAGCCCTTTTTGCTTCCTCTTTCTCCCTCAGCTCGCTGCACCTCCTGCAGCCGCTCGCGGACAGCTTTTCCTGCTCAACTGGCGACTTCTCGAGCGTGCGCTCGCACCGTCGCTACGAGCCTGCTCGTGCTGGCGATCGTTTCCTTGCCGCCGCGCAGCCTCGCGAGTTTGGGAAGGCTGGTCGCTGCGAGCTGCACTCGCGGCTACCTCGCGAGCGAGCTTGCACATCTCTCGACTGCTCGGCATAAGAGACGGCTGCTGCAGGAGCGCCACCCGAGGGCTCGCCGCCGTCGCCCACAAATGAGCGTGCCAGTCTCTCTCTTCTCTCGCTCTGCCCACGCCTGAGCAGGCCGGATGTATTTCAGCGCGTGACTGCGCAGAGCGTGTTGGGCAAGCGCCCAATTCAGGGCGGGTAGCACCAGCTGCTGGTCGAGCGGCTCGAGTGCGAGCGAGCCTTTGCCCTCACGAGGAAGGTCCGGCGACCAAAGCGCGCGAGCGGCGGATTCGGCTCTCGAGTTTCAGACCGGCAAGCGCAGACGATCGACCTCCCCGTTGTGGTCCCCTCGCGCGCCCCCCTGCTCGCGTTTGGCGTGGCCCCGCGGCGAGCCTGCTCGAGCGCCTCCTTCCCACCGCCTCGACGTCGTCCGGCTCGAGAGCGCGCACACCGACAGCGCCGCCAGACCCGCACCGGGAACCACTGACTCCTGCCCGCAGGTAGCCGCTCGCACCGCCGCTCTCACACGAGTCGGCAACCTCTCCGATCAAGCCGCCTCGTCTTCGCACGGTCACGGCGTTTGTGGAGTTCGTCCTCCCTCGACCTCTACAGCAACCGCCGCCCTCGCCCCAGCGCTCTAGCGCTCGGCACCCATCCCCCTGCGCTCGTCCAACCTCGAGCCGCACCGCCCCCGCCTTTCTGCGCGCCTCGCCGAGCGACAAGATGTTGCCGACCAAGCCCCAGCAGGCGGTGACGCACGAGCCGTTCCGGCGACACGACGAGCCCGAGTCGATGGGCGAGGTGCGTCCTTTGGTCCTTTGCCGGTGCGGGCGGTCGAGCTGGAGGATGAGGCGGCGGAGGCGGAGGCGAGCGAGTTCGCCGGTCGAGCGGGGGAAGGGCGTGGGCGGCGAGTGCGCTCGGTTGCGCGCGCTTGTTGGGGTGGTGGGAGGGTGGCGAGTGCAGCAGGGCAGCTCCAGGCGGGAGCGAGGCAGAGCACAGGGAGTGGACCGGAAGGAGGAGGAGGCCGGCCTCGCCGCGAGCGAACCACCTCCCGTCTCGCCTCTCGACACCGCTCTGCTGGGCTGCAGAAGAGATCTACATGGTCACCACCACCTGTGCGGCCGAGCAAGCACACGACTCGCGCCCCAAGAGCCGCCCTGACTGACTCTTCTGCCCCCTCCTCCCACCTCATCTCGCTCAACCGACCCTGCAGGACTCGTACCTCCGCGCACGCCGACCTGCATCCGCTACCTCGTCCAACAACGCCTCGGCCGAGTCCGGCGCACCTTTTGCCGCAGCGGGAGCTCCCCTCGGCCGCCGTGGCTCCGGCACCACCAACGGCTCCGCCGCCCCGGCCGCCGTCGCACCTGTCCCTATCCCGGGCGACGACGACTACGATGACGACCTCGACGACACGTTCAAGGGCGGCATGCCCATCGGCCTCCTGGCCGCACTCGGTGCGTCCCTCTCCCTCTCTTTCGTCCTCCTCGAGCGCACTGACTCGTCGTCTCCCGCAGGCACGCCGTACGCCAAGAAGCCCCTGTGGAAGTCGAGAAAGGTGCGTCCTCGACGACGTGGGCTACCATCAAGGCGCAGCACTGACCCTTGTTCCGGCCCGCAGTTCAAGGTCCTGTGCCCGCTCATGCTCCTCGTCATTCTCGCCGTCGCCATCCCTCTCCTCGTCTTCCCCATCGTGCGCGGCATCGCCAAGCACGCCCTGTCGACCTCGGTCCTCCACATCGACGCGTCCAACATCACGTTCCCGTCCAACGAGTCGTTCACGCTCACGCTCGAGGGCCAGGTCAAGAAGGTCGGCGTCTTCCCCGCCCAGCTCTACTTTGAGCGCCCCGTGCGCGCCTACTGGGTCAGCCCGCGCAACACGACGCGCGAGATCCAGATCGGCCACTTTGCGCTCGAGCGCATCGGCGTCGCCGCCGGCCACGGCCGCATCAAGCAGCAGACGACCTTCTACATCGACGACCAGGCCGGGTTCGCCGAGTTCGCCCAGTACCTCATCACCCAGGACGCCTTTACGTGGCGCCTCAAGTCCGAGTCGGTCCAGGCCAAGGCGCTCGGCTTCATCTCGGCCAACAAGCTCGACTTTGTCAAGGACTTGACCCTGCCCGGCATGGCCAACTTTACCAACATCGGCATCTTCGACTTCCAGCTCCCCGGCGACGACCCTGCCGGCGGCATCTCGCTCAGTGTCGGCGCGTCGTTGACCAACCCGAGGTGCGTCCGCTCCCCCTTTCCTCCTCCTTCTTGGAGGCGCCGCCCTGACCCTCTCTTCCGTCCCACAGTTCGTTCGGCATCCAGATCGGCATCCTCACCGCCGGCCTGTATTACGGCGACCTGTACCTCGGCCCGGCGCAGACGGCGTCGCCCGTCAACCTCACGACAGGGCCCAACTACCTGCACCTCGTCGGCCGCCTCGTCCCGTACCAGGACGACCCGGCCGCGCTCGCCCAGCTATCGACCCTGTTCTCGTCGTACCTCAACGGCGACACGATCCCGGTCCAGGCGCGTGGCCTGTCGATCGCGCTCCCGAGCGGCGAGAACATCGCCTGGCTGTCGACGGGCATCTCGGCGCTCACGCTCAACGTCCCGTTGCGGTCGCCGACGGGCAAGATTGCGCCCATCACGGCCATCACCATCGAGGCCCTCTCGCTCGGGTTCGACCCGAGCGCGCCGTACGCCCCGACGGCCAACTCGTCGGCCATCGCCGCCGGCTTTGGCCTCCCGTTCGGCTTCAGCCTCGACATCGTCTCGCTCAAGAACAGCTTCGGCATCGTCGACAACCGCACCATCGTCGCGTCGCTCGAGTCGCCGTACGGCTCGTCCAACACGACCATCACCTCGCGCAACGCCGGCTACACGGTCGGAGAGTGCGTCGACCGTCCTCTCGCCTCTCTCCCTCTCTCTCGAACCGCCTTCCCTGACCCGCTTCCCTCTCCTCCTGCAGCATCGACCTCGAGCTGCCTCTCGCGCCACTCACGATCGGCAACGACCAGGACGCGCACCTCGCGTTCAGCCAGTTCGCGTCCGACCTGACCAACACGAACGGCTCGGCCTTTACGCTCGTCGGCAAGACGTCGGCCATCACCAACACGCCGCTCGGGCAGGTGCGGCGAGCCTGTTCTCTCGTCCTTGCGAGGCCGCTCGAGCCCTGACTCACCTTTCTCTCCCCCTGTCGTCCAGGTCTCGCTCACCGACATCGGCTTCACGGTGCCCGCCGGCCTCATCGGCCTCGAGGGCCTCACCAAGTTCCCGACGCTCATCAACTCGGTCGACGTCGTCGGTGGCACGCCTGACGCCATCGTGCTCAACATCGCCGTCGGCCTCACCAACCCGTCCAACCTCGACCTCATGGTCGGCAACGTCACGTTCCAGCTGTTCAAGGGCAAAAGCTTCCTCGGCACCACCGTCCTACCTGTGCGACGAGTTGCTCCCGTCCTTCTTCTGCGCGACGAGCCGGATCTGACCCAGGCCTCTCGGTCGCTCGCCCACAGGAGCTGCACCTAGTCACGGGCGCCCAAGAGCACGCCGCCGTCGGCTACTTCCAGGCCAACAACAACGAGGACTCGCTCAACACGCTCCAGGCCTTCGTCTCGGGCGAGGACACGGCCCTGTCGATCTCGGGCTTCAACGGCTCGAGCGCGGTCGATTCGCTCACCCAGGCGTTCATGGCGATCCACCTCAACACGACGCTGCCCGGCCTCAAGACCAAGCTCCTCAACTACGCCAACCTGACGGTCCTGCCGACGACGGGCTACGCCAACGACCTCGCCGACACGACCGTCTCGCTCGCCAACCCGTTCACGTCGGCCCTCACCGTCACCAACATCCAGGCCAACATCACGTCGTACGGCCTGTACGTCGGAAACATCGTCACCGACACGGCGTCGCAGTTCAACGGCCGCGCCAACACCGACTCGTCGACGCTGCCCTTGTGCGTCTCGCCTCCCGCCGCCCTTTCTCCTCTTCCCGCCCTCCTCCTGACAGACCTCTTCCCTCGTGCAGCGACCTCAACCTGTACCCTCCCGACATCTTCTCTCTCCTGCGCGCCCTTGCCGTCGATGCCGGCCTCGGCACCGAGCAGCTCGACGGCATCGTCCGCCTCGGCGGGTACGAGTACGTCCCGACGTCGCCCAACCCGTCGGGCGCAACTCGTCAGCGCACAAAGCGCGCCATGCTCGGCGCGTACGACGAGCCGAGCGGCATGTACGGCATCGGCCCTGGCAACGCGTCGGTCGAGGACGGGCTCGTGTTTGTCCAGGAGAGCAAGCGTGGGCTCGTGCGGCGCGACAACATCTACACCGGGTGCGCCCTCCTCTCCTTCCTCCCTCTCTCCCCGACCTGTCCTGATGTCGAGCACGTACAGGTTCGACCTGCCGAGCTACGTCCTGCGGGCGTTCGCTGGCCTCGAGGTCACGGTCGACCTCGTCTCGGCGGTTAAGATCGGGGAGTACACGACGTCGCTCACCTACTCGCAGCCCAACGTGCCCGCCTACACCGACTCGACGCTCACGGTGCGTCCTCTCCTCGGCCCGCATCAGGACGAGCCTCGACCTGACCGCCTCCCTTTCCTCCCTGCAGCTGCTCCTGCCGGTTCTCGCTCGGCCCATCGTGCAGAAGATCGTCGACGAGGCGGCGCTCAACATCGACACCGTCATGATCCGCAACCCGACCAACAACGGTGAGCCAAGAGCTTGTCCCGGCGTGCTCTCTGTCCGTCTCGCGAGTCTACTGACCCTCTCTCCTCGTCCTTCTAGCCTTCACCGCCGGGCTCGTCGGCAGCATCCGCAACTCGGGCCCGTTTGACGCCGTCATTAGCTTCACCGAGGGCCTCACGGTCGCCTGGAACGGCCAGCCGCTCGGCCAGATCGCCATGCCCAACGTGTCGCTCGCGGGCGACGTCGGCGCCGACCTCAACATTGACGCCGCGTTCGCCGTCGCCGACGTCGGCCACCTCACCGACTTTACGACGTACCTCCTCACGCAGCCGTCGTTCACGTGGCAGATCTATGGCCAGAACCTCGCCGTGTCGGCGCTCGGCATCACGGTCCCGGGCATCAGCATCTTAAAGAACGTGCGCCCGCTTCTCTCTCTTGTTCCCTAGCCTCGTCCGAGCAGTCGACTGACCCAGAGTCTCGTCCTGCAGGTCGTCCTCGACGGCATGGACGGGTTCAAGGGCCTCGTCAAGATCGAGTCGTTCGACCTTCCCGCCAACGACCCGGCCGGCGGCATCACGCTCACCTTGGCCACCTCGCTCACCAACCCGTCGTCGGTCGGTGTCGCCCTGTCGCAAATCGGCTTCCAGAACTTCTTCGGCAGCACCAACATCGGCCCCGTCGCGTCGACGGGCGCGTTCGACCTCAGCCCCAAGACGACGATCGCGCTCCCGCTCGCCGGTCGCCTCGTGCCCCAGTCGTCGGACCAAGGCCTCGCCGACGTCAGCACGCTCTTCAACGGCTTCATCCACGGCGTCCCGTCCGACCTCATCGTCCAGGGCGACTACGCCGGCCCGAGCGACTGCAGCTGGCTCAACAACGGCATCAAGCAGCTCGGCATCCCGGTCGTCTTCCCGGCGGCGCAGAACCTCCAGATCATCAACGCCATCACGATCCCGTCGCTCACGCTCCAGTTCACCGAGGCGGACCCGTGGAAGCCGGCGTTCACGACGACGACGACCTCGGCCGCGTTCTCGCTCCCGTTCGCGTTCCCGGTCGACATCACCAACCTCGCGTCCGAGATCTATGCGGCCGACACGGGCGCAGGTGCGACGTCGAGGCTCGTCAAGCGCGCCGACGGCGACTTTGCCCTGCTCAACATTCCCGGCATCCCGGTCAAGACGGACGTGACTGCGCGCACGATCCAGCTCGCGTTCGACGGCGTCCCCTTTGCGTCGGTCGACAACGGCGCCTTCTCCAACTTCCTCGTCGACGTCACCGACGACGAGTCCAAGACGTTCACGCTGCGAGGGTCCGCCAACACGGTGGCCGGCACGGCGATCGGCGCCCTCAACCTCGAGGACATCGCCTTCTCGGTCCAGACGACGCTCCTCGGATTGCAGGGGCTCAACGCCCGTCCGGCGACCGTCTCGGACCTCGACGTCTTCCACGGCTACCCCGAATACCTGCAGATCAACGGTCCGTCCTCGCTTCCCTTTCCTCTTCTCGCCCTTCTTCCTCAGTCTGAGACCGGTCCTGACCAGTCGTACCCTCTCGCAGTCAACGCCCAGCTGTACAACCCGTCCAACATCACGATCGGCACGGGCGACGTCGCGTTTGGCCTCATCTTCCAGTCGCAGCAGATCGGCACGGCCGACATTGACAACCTCGTCCTCGTGCCGGGCGAGAACAACGTCCCGACCGCCGTCCACTACCAGCCGAGCGGCGGCGCCGCTCAAGCCGCAGGTCAGCTCCTCCTCGAGAACTACATCCAGGCGGTCGACAGCAACACGGTCATCCAGGGCACGGACGACACGACGCCGATCGCGTCGCTCAAGGCGGCGCTCAAGACGATCCAGCTCAACACGGTCATCCCGGCCTACACGCAGAACCTCATCACCCAGGCCTGTACGTCTGCGCGCGCCCTCCTCCCTATCTCGTCCTCCTTGCCGACTGACCCTCTTTGCAGCCGTCGTGTTCCCGATCGACATCGCCAAGACTGGCATCGCGGCAGCGCAGGTCACGTTGCAGGACCCGTTCACGGCCTCGATCAACCTCCTCCAGGTCTTGACCAACGTCACGTACCAGGGCATCTACCTCGGGCAGGTCGACGTGCGTCCTCCTCTCACCTCCTCCTCCCCTCTCCTGTCCGACGGCGTAGGTCTGCGACTGACACATGTTTCCGCCGAGCAGGAGAAGCTCAACCCGGTCTTTTCGGTGGCGGGCAAGACGACGGGCGTCTCGGGCAACCTCGAGTGAGCCCTCTCGTCCTGCCTGTCTCTGCCTGGACCCTTTCCTGACTCTGCGTCCCTGCAGCTTTGCGCTCAACACGAACCCGAAGGACCTCATCCGGTTCCTCGAGGCCGTCGCGAGCGCGAATGGCGTCGACCTCGGCATCCTCGGTGCGTGCACGGACCTCCCTCTCTCCTCTCTCCTTCTCGCTCAGCCCGACCTTTACTGACTCTCCTTCTCTCTCGCCTGCAGGCCCGGCCCTCAATGGCGTCCTTGCCCTGGACTCGACCGAGTCGAGCGTCGTCGCGACGGTCAACACGCAGCCCGAGACGTGCGCGCCGACTGGTACGACTCGCACCGTGCAGAACATCATCATCGCGGCCGTCAAGAACCTCAAGACCGACCTCGTCATCCAGTCGAACGTCAAGCTCGACGACTACCAGACGCCGCTCGACTTTGTCCAACGCGACGTCGCGACCGTCCTCGACCCGAACTCGGTCCTGTACTTGACGACGATCCTCGGCCCGACCATCGTCAGCAGCATCGTCGACGGCACCGTCCTGTCGTTCACGTCGGGCCAGGTGTACCAGATCACCGACTCGGGCTTCAAGGTCGACCTTGTCGGCAGCCTCGCCAACGCCGGGCCATTCGACGCCCTCATCGAGGTGCGTCCTGCTCTTCCACTCTTCTCTGTCTTTCGGGATGGCTCAGTGACGCCTTCTCGTGACATCTTGCAGTTCCCCGAGGGCCTCCGGGTCAACTACAAGGGCAACTACATCGCCGACCTGTCGCTCCCGCCCATCTGCAGCTCGGGCGGCAGCGGCGTCCCGAGCCTGACGACCACGGCGACGCTCACGATCCGCAACAAGGGCCAGTTCACCGACTTTGCGACCGACTTGCTCCTCAACCCCGAGTGCGTCTCCTCCGTCCGACCGTCCTCCTCGCAGACCTGACCATCTCGCCCCCACAGCTTCACCTGGACCGTCTCGACCGACAAGCTGCGTGTGTACGCGCTCGCCACGATCTTTGACGACGTCGCGCTCAGCAAGGACATCGGCTTCAGGGCCTTTGACGGCCTCCCCGGCGTCACCATCACGCGCCCCGACTTCCCTCGCGACTCGGAAAACGGCATCGCCCTCGTCACCGACACGGCGATCCCGAGCTTGTCGAACCTCGGCGTCCAGCTCGGCACGGCTACGTTCACGGCGAGCTTCCAGGGCGAGGTTGGTGCGTCGACGTGCCTCGCTCGTTCTCCCTCTCGCCCTCACTCGACCTGACTCGTTCTCCTGCCTCCGCAGTCGGCCCCATCTCGGCGAACGACCTTACGCTCGCGCCGTTGGCGACGACCCAGGCGACCCTGACGGGCGAGATCGTCCGTCGCTCGTCGCGCAAGGGCCTCGACTCGCTCGGCACGCTCTTCTCCCGATTTTTGCGCAACGTCAACCAGGTACGCCCGACTCTCTCTTACCTCGGCGAGCTGTTTACAGGGCTCCCGGCCTGACCCTTCCGACCTGCAGACGCTCGACGTTACCGGCAAGGAGGTCATCTCGCCCGCACAGCCCAACTCGCCGGTCGACTGGCTCTCTGCCGCGTTCAAGAAGCTCACGATCGAGGTCAACCTGCCTGGAGGAACGTACGACATCATCAAGAAGGTGCGTCCCCCCTTTTCCCCCCCTCCTCAACGTCGCTCTCGACGTTCACTCGGCGAGGTGGCCTGTTGGACCGCGCCTGACTCTTTCCTCTTCCGCCGATACAGATCACGCTCGAGGACTTGACCGTGCAGGTGCGCTCCATCCTCCTTCTCGCGAGCGTGATGGTCGGCAAGACTCTGACAGGCCCATGAACACCCGGTCGCAGATTACCGAGCCGGCCGACGCCTACGCCGTCCCGACCTCGAACAACCGGACCGACGTCGTGTATGCCAACCCGTTCGGCTTCAGCTTGACGGCGATCGAGGCCGGCGGCGACTTTATCATGTGCGTCCCTGCTCGTTCGTCGCCCTCGAGCCTTGTTGGCGCCGAGCCTGACGATCTTGTTCTCCCTCGCAGCGACTTTAACGGTGTCGACACGGCCCTGCTCGAGCTACCCGTCGAGAAGTCGGTGAGCGCCGAGACGTCGACGGGCAACGACGCCGCGCTCGTCCTCGCGTTCAGGAACCGCATCCTGTCGTCGCTCAACAACGGCGCGTTCGAGGACTTCTTCAACGCCGTCACGAACACGGCCAACGTCGACTTCAACCTGCACGGCGGCGCGAATGGTACGTCCCCTCCTTTTGCCCTACTCGCGCCGACCTCACCGACTTAACCCTGTCGTCGTCGACCTTGCGCAGTCACGGCCCGCACCAACGCCGGCGACATCCCGATCTCGGGCATCCCCTTCTCGGTCGACACCAACTTGGCCGGCATCCAGTCGCTCAACGCTCGCCCGACCGTCGTCTCGAACGTGGACGTCAACCGCGGTTTCCCCGACTACCTGCGCATCCTCGGTGCGTCCAGTTCTCCCTCTGCCTCTCCCTGTGCGCCCGCACACTCACCTCCACTCTCGCGACACAGCCGACGCGACGCTGTTCAACCCGAGCGAGGTCACCGTCATCGTGCGCCCGACTCTCTCTCTCTTTGACCTTCCCAAGTCGCAGAACTGACCTTCTCACACTCCCCCAGACCAACGACGTCGTCTTTGGCCTCGAGTTCATGAACACGGTCATCGGCTCGGTCGTCATTGGCGACCTGCTCCTCATTCCCGACGAGAACCTGCTCGGCACCGAGGGTCCGTCCACTTTCAGCCGTCCGAGGATTGTCGTGTGCGACCTGCACTGATTCGAGCCGCTTCGTCCCACAGTTCGCTACATGCCGCAGGGCGGCGCAGTCGCAGTCGGCAAGGTCCTCCTCGAGAACTTCATCCAGGGCATCGTCTCGGACGTGTCGATCGTCGGTACCCCCAACACGACGCCGTACGGCTCGCTGCAGAAGGCGCTCGGCACCATCTCGATCCAGACGAGCATCCCGCCCATCTACCAGTTGCTCATCACCAAGGCCTGTGCGTTCCCAACCGCCCCTTTTTCCAGACGAGTCTCGCCATGACCCTGACGGTCTCTCCCTCGCCCAGCGCTCTCGTTCCCGGTCGACATCGCCGACACGGGCATCGCCGAGGCGTCGTTCGACCTGTCGAACCCGTTCACGGCGAGCATCAACCTGCGAGGCGTCGTCGCAAAGGCGACGTACCAGACGTTCTACCTCGGCCAGATCAACCAGCCGACGCTCGACCCCGAGATCTCGGCCGCCGGGCACAAGAACATCACGTCGCGCAAGCTGCCGTTCGAGCTCACCGACGACCCCAAGTTCCTCATCAACTTCCTCATCGCCGTCGCGCAGGCCAACGGCGTCGACCTCGGCATCCTCCGTGCGTGGCTCCCTCTCTTCCTCTTTCCCGCTCGGGACCGCGCTCACCTTTGTCCTGCGTCCCGCACACAGTGCCCGAGTTCCAGTACGTGCTCAGCCTCCCGTCGACCGACACCGCCGTCACGAGCGAGGTCAACCCGGACCGCGAGACGTGCGCGCCGACCGGCACGACCAAGGAGGTTCAGAACATCATCCTCGCCGCGGTCAAGAACCTCAAGACGGACCTCAACATCTCGGCGACCGTCGCGCTCGACGAGTACGTGACGCCACTCGACTTCCAGCAGCGCGGCGTGCCGACCGTCCTCGACGACTCGGTCCTGTACCTCACGGGCCTCCTCGGTCGCACCATCGTCGCCCGCATCGTCGACCAGGTCCAGCTCACCTTCAGCGGCGGGTTCGTGTCCGACATCACCGACGCCGGCTTCAAGGTGGCGCTCAAGGGCTCCCTCACCGACGCAGGACCGTTCGACGCCCTCATCGAGGTGAGCCCTCGCCGTCACCTCGCCCGTCCCTCGCCTCCTTGATCTGACCTCTCTCTTTCCTGCAGTTCCCTGACGGCGTCGACGTCTACTTCATGAACGCCAAGATCGCCGTCATCGACTTGCCGCCCATCTGCAGCCCCGGCGGGCAGGGCGTCCCTGACTACGAGACGACCGGCACCCTCACCATCACCGACCTCGCCGGCTTCACCGACTTTGCGAGCTACCTCTTGAACAACCCGTCGTTCACGTGGGTCATCACGACCAACACGCTCCAGGTGCGTCCACTCTCCCTCTCCCTCCTTCTGCGTCGAGAATCGTTTTACTGACCCACTTCTCGAGCTCGCAGGTCTCGGCGCTCCAGGTGCGCCTGCTTCTCGGTCTGTACTCTCCCGGCGTGCCGCAGCAGCACTGACCAAGTCGTCCTTGCCTCGCAGACCATCTTCTCGAACGTGACGCTCACCAAGAACATTACCTTCGACGCGCTCAACATGCTCCCAGGCGTCGTCCTCACCAACCCGGACTTCCCTCGCGACGCGTCGAACGGTATCCAGCTCACGGTCGACTCGACGATCCCGTCGCCGAGCAACCTCGGGTTCGAGCTCGGCACCGTCAACTTCATCGCGTCGTACATGGGCTCGGTCATTGGTCCTGTGTCGGGCGACGACTTGACGCTCGCCGCCAAGGCGACGACGCCTCTGCCGCTCGAGGGCGTCATCACGTACCGCGACGACCAAGCCGGCCGCGACAGCCTCGGCGAGGTGTTCACCATGTTCCTCATGGGCAAGACCGTACCTCGTGCGTCCCGTCAAAGACCTTTCCCTTCCTCGCACGAGCGCGCGACCTGACCTCGAGCGGTTCTCGTCCGCCCGCAGTTACCGTCACGGGCGACTCGGTCGTCACGCCGGCGCAGAGGGCGCCCGTCAACTGGCTGTCGGCGGCGTTCAAGACGCTCACGCTCAACGTGACGCTGCCGGGCAAGGTCTCGAAGATCATCTACGCTGTGCGCCTCGCTCCCTCACCTTCCTAGACTCGTCGGCGTCGGGCCGACCGTTTCTGACCCTCGCCTCGTCGACGCTCGCCTGCAGATTTCGATCCAGGACCTCATCGTCACGCTCGTCGAGCCGTCGCAGGCGTATGCGGCGCTGATTCAGAGCAACGAGACGGACGTCACGTACCGGGTGCGCCGACATCTCCCTCTCTCGAGCGCCGCCGTCGTCGAATCCGCCCTGACGCTCTTGCGCCTCGCAGAACCCGTACGGTTTCAGTTTGCAGGCCATCCAGGCTGGCGGCAACGTGAGTCCCGCTCGTTCCCCTCCCTGCCACCCTCTCGAAAAGTCAGCTGACGTGGCCCCCCTTCCTCTCCTCCTCCCTCGCCAGTTCATCATCAACTACGGCGGCACCGACGCAGGTGTGCTTCAAGTTCCCGTCCAGGACGTCGTTCGCTCCGAGACGTCGACCGGCAACGACGTGCGTGGCCTTTCTCTCCTTTCTCTCGGTTAGCGACGCAGACTGACCTTCCCTCGAGCGCACAGGCCGACCTTGTTCTCGCCATTCGCGAGCCGGGTCCTTTCACCTCGCTCAACAACGGCGCCTACGAGGCGTTCTTCGCCGCCATCACGCTCACCGACAGTGTGTCGTTCACGCTGCACGGCGGCGCCAACGGTGCGTCCCAGCTCTTCCCTTCCTCCCGCTCGGACCCCGACTGACTTGCCTCCCTTACGCACAGTGACGGCGAGGACCAAGGCGGGCGACATCCCGATCAGCGGCATCCCGTTCGACGACATCCCGTCGACCTTCGAGCCGGCCATTGGCGGCTTTGGCGGCGTCGCGACCATCCCGGAGAGTGAGTCCTCGCTCGCGCTCGCGCCGAGCGCCTCTCGTTCCTCCGCACGACGTGTCTCTGACTCTGCCTCTTTCCTGCAGCGCCGGTCGTCATCGGCGGCGGCTCGGGCGACCACTTCAACCCGTCGTCGGGCGGCCAGTTCCTTCGGTGCGTCGTCCGCTCTGTCCCTCAGGCGGCTCCTCTTCTGCGAGCGCTTCCTGACTCTCCGCACGACGCCTCGCAGCATCACGCTCGACACGATCCTCAACAACCCGGCGCCGCTTATCCTGCACACCAACCTCGACTCGTTCCAGGTCATCTACCGCGGCGAGCTCGTCGGCCGGGCCTACATCAACCCTCTCGATCTCTACGAGGGTGCGTTACCGTTTCGCAGCGCTCCCTCGAGTCGAACTCTCGGCCTGACTCACTCGATCCGCAGGCTCGAACACGCTCGCGACCGAGTTCCAGTACATGCCGGCCGACCCGAACAACGCCGTCGCCGAGGACCTCCTCACCCAGTACCTGTCGACCAAGGGCCAGATCCCGCTCACGATCCAGGGCGACGCCGAGTCGTCGCCGTACGGCGCGCTCGACCAGGCGTTCTCGGGGCTCAAGCTCGAGGCGTCCTTCCCGGGCCAAGGCGACCCGCTCGTCCACGACATCGAGGTCTACGTCGACCTCATCACTGCCGTCTGCAACAGCAGCGCGTCGTTCGATTTCCGGGTGCGTCCACAACCTCTCGCACCTGTCGCAAAAGTCCCGCTCTGACCCCTTCTCATGCAGATCAACAACAACCTCGAGACGTTCATCACGCTCCTCACCCTCAAGGGCACCGCCTCGCAGAACGGCGTCGTCTACGCCACGTTCGACTACACGTTCCAGGACCAGCTCACGACGCCGGGGCAGACGACGCCGGGCGGCTACACCGAGCAGGTGCCGGTCAAGCTCCCGCAAGGCGGAATCGGTAGCCTCCCGCTCCTCGTCAATAAGCCGGCAGGCCTCGACATCGTGCGTCCGACCGTCCTCTCGCCGCCTCGGTCCCGTGAGCGTCGACTGACTCCTCGTTGCCGCCGCAGGACATCGTCGCCGGCGTCTCGATCGGCGGCTACGTCGCCCCGAGCATTGTCTACTCGCAGAAGGCGGTCCCTTACAGTGCGTCTCACCTCTCACTCTCTGGAGGAGACGACGAGAGACTGACATTCTGCCACTCGCAGCCACCAAGGTCACGATCGGCGGCTCGGCGGCCGATGGCCTCCTCGGCGGTATCACGGTGCGCTCTCTTCCTCGACTCTCTCACCCGCATCAAGAGCGAGAACTGACTCGGTGCGCGCACACAGGGCCTCCTCGGCAGCCTCTTCGAGGTCGCGTCTTGCGTCGGCGGCGCGCTCTCGCTCCTCCCGAACCCGATCCTCAGCATCCTCACCAACCTGCCGGGCGCCATCACGTCGCTCCTCAACATCCCCGAGTCGATCCTGAACCCCGTCACGTGCGTCCCCTTCTTCTTCCTCCCCTCTACGAAGAACGGCCGACTGACCCTCACCTTCCTCAGGTCGATCGTTGGCGGCGTCCTCTCGAACGTCACCTCCATTGTCGGCGACGTGACCTCGGTCGCAGGCAGCGTCGTCGGCGACGTGACGAGCATCGTCGGCGGTGTCACGTCGGCCGTTGGCGGCGTCGTGAGCGACGTGACGGCTGGCGCAGGCTCGATCGTCGACGGCGTGACGAGCGTCTTGGGCTCGGACCTCGGCGGCGTCGTCGGCGGCGTCACGTCGGTCGTCGGCGGTGCCGTGTCCGAGGCGACCGCTGCGGCGGGCGGAGCTGCTTCGGTCGCGACGGCTGCCGTCGGCGGAGCGGCGTCGGTTGCGACGGCGGTTGTCGGTGGCGCCACGAGCGCTGTCGGTGGCGTCCTCAGCGGCGTTGGTGGAGCACTCGGCTTGCGCGAGCGCGACGAGAGTGCGTCCCCTTCTTCCCTTTCCATCGCCTTTGTCGGCGCCGGACTGACTCGCCGCCTCCTCTCTCGCAGTTTTCGCCGCCCAGTACGTCCCGGCCAAGCCGACGCCGACCGCGCAAGCTGTCGTCCCGACTCTCCTTACCTCTACGCGCACCGAGGCGCCTCAAGTCGTTACGCCGACGCCTGCACCCGCTCGCTCGACGCTCCGGCCCGAGGACAGCCTCCAGATCGCCGGCTACATGGGCGGCATCGACCCTCAGCACCTCGCCCAGCTCCTCGCCAAGCACGGCGTCACGATCGGCGAGGATATCGAGGTCTACCGCCAGCGCAAGCACGAGATGGCGAGGCGAGACGCCGAGCGCCGGACCGAGGAGCGGTTGCGGCGCAAGCGCGCGCTCGACGCTTGAGGGCATCTGAGCGCTTGCCTCTCGTCGTCGATGGACCCTTTCCTGTCTCTTCCCCTTTCTGTCGTTCTGAGCACTGCGGGATCCTCCAGTTTCTAGCTCGCACGCGATTTCTCCCTCTTGAGCAGTACCCCTTCTCCTCGTCTCTCCTGTCTTCCTTCGTCCTTATCGAGCCTTCTCCTGCAAAGCAGTATGTATCAAGAACTTGCACGTCTCGGTCGAGAGCAGAGAGGAAGCGAGAGCGAGACGTTCTCCTCGCCGGCTTCAGCTCTCGAAAGCTGGCTCTCGCTCGCCTCTCCTCGAGAGTCGCCGGCCAGGTATCGCTCAGAGTTGCACGGAAGAGGCTACATAGAGAATCTGAGAAGTTCACTGAGAAGAGGAAGAGTCAGGACGACCTCGCTCGACCAGCGAGAGCGAGAGGAACGTGCGCGAGCGAGGACGCACCTGCCGAACGGCCTGCATCGCGTGCTCCCAGTCGTCCTTCAGGTCGTCAAAGTCCTCGAGGCCGATCGAGAGACGGACTGCGAGGCGAGCGAGTCAGTCAGAAACAAGAGGGCAAAGGAAGAGAGGTGGCGAGGACGCACCGAGACAAGGGTTCTCGGACGGGTCCGAGATGATGCGGTGCTCGATGAGCGACTCGACGCCGCCGAGCGAGGTCGCGTGCTGTTGCCGGGGAAGAACTCGTCAGGGCCGATGCAGGAGAGAGGAGAGGGAGCTGAGGACGCACGATGAAGAGCTTGAGCTTGTTCGGGAGCCGGCTCGCCATGTCCTTGCTCTTGAGTACGACGCTGAAGCACGCCGGCCCGAGCTCCATCTGCTTGCCCGGCCCGAGCAGCTCGTCGGCATTGTCCTGCAGCGACGTGTGGTAGACCTTGTCGACGACGCCGCCGCCAACCTGGGTCGCGAGCCATTGCGCGAGCCGGGTCGCCGTCTTGGACTGGCGCTTGACGCGGACGTCGAGGGTGCGCAGCGAGCGCAGGAGGAGCCACACGTCGAGAGAGCCGATGTTTGCGCCCGTGAAGGTGCGGTCGTTCCACCTGTCGGCGAGAAAGCGTCGTCAGGGTCCGTAAAAAGGGGAGGACGGAAGGAAGGGACCGAGCGGGACGTACAGCTTGAGCCAGTCGGCCTTGTCGCGCACACTCACAGTGCCTGCGAGAAGGTCGCTGTGGCCGTTGAGGTATTTGGTGCCGCTGTCTGCTCGAGGGAGAGAGAGAACAGTCAATCGGTCGCTCGAGCCCGTGAGGGAGAGAACGCTCAACGCCTCGAGCCCGTGAGGGAGAGAACGCTCGACGCACGCATGACGATATCGACGCCCCACTTGAACGGGTCCTGCATAGGGGGAGGACCAAATGTCGAGTCGACGCCGAGGATGCCGCCAGCAGCGTGAGCCCTTTTGGCGTCTGCGGGTCGAGGAGGAAGTCAAGAACCGGTTCTCGCTCGAGACGAGGAATGACGGGACGCACACTTGTCGAGCGAGCGCGAGGTGCCCAAAGGGTTGAGCGGAGTCTCGACCCAGACGAGGAGCTTCTTGCCGTGCGGGTACTCGTCGTCGAGCTGGATGAGCTGCACTTGGTCCTCGCCCTTCGTGCGGCGGTAGATCTTGATGGCCTCGTGGCACCCTCCATAGCCGCCCGTGATGGCGATGATGTCGGGTCGCACGTGAAGAAGAATCGCCCAGAAGGCGGCCATGCCCGACGGGAAGAGGATCGTGCTGCGCGGCGGCGAGGGCAAGTCAGTACGAGTTCGGCGAGGCGGGCAGAGGATGGAGCGCGGGAAGAGGATGGAGCGCGGGAAGAGGATGGAGCGCGGGCAGAGGATGGAGAGCAAGGCTCACGGCTGCCCGATGATGCTCGAGAGCACATGCTCGGCACGAGTAGTCGTCGGCTTGGTCTCGCTGCAGAGGGAAGGAACGAGGTGAGCGAGGGAAACCGGCGGCGAAGAGGAGGGCAGGAGGAGGAGAGGAGGTAGGGTGGAGGGGAGGAGGGTAGGAGGAGGAGAGGAGGTAGGGAGGAGGACGAGGAGGAGGCGGGGCGCACCGAGAGTAGACGTCCCTGCTCGGCCTCGACGGGTCCCACTCGTCGTCGTAGCCGGGCTCGACACCGTCCACCTCGGGATCCGGGTGCCGGAACGTGGTCGACAGCGAGAGGCTCGCAGCGACCTCGGCGCCAGAGAGCTCCGAGTCTTGATGGATGGCGCGCGTCGCGAATGCAGTGCGCTGAAGAGGAGCCATGGGATGCAGCCTGTGCAGAAGCAGAAGCAAGCCAGAGAGAGTAGAGGGAGGGAAGAGAGGCGAGACAGGGCGAGCTGATGAAGTCGAGCGCGTCCGGGTCTCGATCGTCTCCAAGCTCCAAGCGGTTCGCGCTTCGACAACTTGCTCGCTCTTTTCCCGCAACGACGCCGACGCTCGAAAGAAGCAGAACGAAGCTCACGCCGGCCTCGAGGCGCTTGGCGACAGCCACCGAGTCGGGCGAAGAGAGAAAGGGAGGAAAGTCGGCCGCGGCTTGTGCGCTCGGCAGCGGCGAGGCCAGTGAAGCACGGAAAGGACTCTGATTCTCAGGCAAGCGTACTCAAAGGCAAGTCGGGCACCCTCCCGGTCCCTCGCCTCCGTCCCAGCCCCGCCGCGAGCTGCTACTCGGACTCGTCCTCGCTCCCGCTCCCCTCCTCGTCCTCCTCCTCCTCCTCCTCCTCGTCCTCCTCGCGCTTCTTCTTCTGCTCGTCGTACTCCACGGCCGCGGCGACGATCCACCTCGAGAGCGCCCGCTTGTCGTGCCACAGCGCGTTGGCGGCGGCGACGTCGCGGGTCTGTGCGCTCGAGAGGATGGCGTCCTGCGGCCTGCGGGCGAGCTTGCGGTCGGCGATCGAGGGAGGGTAGATCGAGATCGGGATGGTGGCCGGCCTGCAGAGGGGGATGAGAGGGGAGGGAAGGGAGGAGGGCGGGAGAGGGGAGGAGGTCAGGGCCGGGACGTCGTGCGAGGGCAGAGAAGGGGACGCACTCCTTGGTGCCAGGCAAGACGGCCCACGCGACATGCTTTGCGTCCGGGTTGCTCATGATCTGTACGAAGAGAGAGTCAGTAAGAGGCGAGGGCAAGAGGGAGAGGACGAGGAGAGGAAGCTGAGGACGCACCACCGCCGGCAGCACGAGCCTCCCTGCGAGGTACGTAAAGACGCGCTCGCCCGCCTTGTACACGCCCTCGTCCTCCTCCGAGCTCGCCTCGGCCGCCGCGACACGCGCCGACGAGCGCGAGCCGTGCGCCTGGGGCTTGCGCCTCGACGAGGCCTGGGCGGCGGCGGCGCGCGACTTGGCTTTGCTCTTGCTCGCGCCCTTGTTCTTGCCGGCGCCCTTGCTCGACTCGGCCTTGACCTTCTTCTTGGTCGGGGCCGGCGCCGAGGACGAGGCGCGAGCGGGCTGGGTGCGCTTGGCGACGGTCGGGGCCGAGCGACGCCTCGACTGGGCGGCGGTGACGACGCGCTCCTTGCCCTTGGCGCTGGTGCGGCTCGTCGAAGGCTCGTCGTCCTCGTCCTCGTCATCGTCGTCGTCGGACGCGGCGACGGGCGAGGACGAGCGCTTGACCTTGCGCTTTTTCGCCGGCGGCGACGACGACCCCGAACGGCGGCGCGAGCGTGACGGGCCCGCATTGCCGTCGCCCTCGTCCTCGTCCGACGAGTACGAGCGCGTGACCTTGCGCTTCTTGCCGTCGCCCTTGCCGCCCTTGCCCTGGCCGCGGCGCGACGTGGTCTCGCTCGTCTTGCTGCGCTTCTTGGTGCGCCGCGCGCTCGCCGCGTCGTCGTCGTCGTCCTCGCCGCCGCTGCTGCTGCTGCTGCTGCTCTCCTGCTGCCGCTTGACGCTCGGGCGCACGCGGACGGGCACCTTCTTCTTGGTCTTGGGCTCGGGCGCGCGCGCCGCCTGGCCGCCGTCCGACGCGAGCTCGTCGACGTCGATGTCGTCCGGCGTCCCGACACGGGCACGAGCACGGGGCTTGGCCTTCTTGCCGACGGGCTTGGGCGCGGGCGCAGCGGCGAAAGCGGGCGCCGGCTCGAGCTCGTCGTAGTCGGACGAGGCCGTCTCGGGGCGGAAGAGGATGCCTTGCTGCGCCTTCTTCTTGGCCTGCGGCGCCTTGCTCGACGACGCGCGAAGCCGCGGCTTGGAAGAGGCGGGCTTGACCTTGAGCGTGGGCTTGGCCTTGGTCGAGCGCGAGGTCGACGCCGCCGGTCCCGCCGCACGCTCCTCGACCGCCTCGCCGTCGACCTCGACCGACGACGCCCTGCCGCCCTCGTCGTCGGACGGGAGCGCTCCGAGCTGCGAGATCGAGGGCGCGTGCTGGCCCGTGCGGACGCGCGACGACTCGGCGGGCGACGAGCTGCGCGACGTGGTCGGGGAGCGGGCGCGCGCCTTGCCCTTGCCCTCGCGGCGCTCGCCGGCCGACATGACGACGTCGCCGTTCTTGACGCGGAGCGGCTTCCTGCCTGCTCCCGCGGTCGCGGACACCGCACTCGAGGTCGGCGCCGGCTCGTCGTCGTCGTCGTCGACGTCGGCGAGGTGCTGCGCGAGCTGGTTGGCCTTGGGCACGGGCGAGTCGACCTCGCCGTCGAGGCCGTCGTCGTCGCTCGCGGCGGCGGCAGTAGTGGCGGCAGCGCGAGGCGTGCGCGAGTGGGCAGGGTGGAGCGGCGGGGACGAGGCCGACTTGGGCGAGGGGAGCGAGGCGGCGCTCGCGTGGTCGGGGTTGGCGCGCGACAGGGTGCGGTCCTTGGTGGCGTGACGAGGGAGGGGAGAGGCGAAGCGCTCGGGGGAGGGTTTGGCGGCGTGGTGGGCGGGAGGACGAGCGCTGCGGGCGAGGGCGTGTGAGTCAGTGCTTGAAGCAACTGCCCAAACCTCTCGAGGTGCACTCCGCGCACGCCTCAAGAGGTACCAGGGTGACGCAGAAGACCGAGACGCACCCGTCGACCGAGTCCTGCTCTCCCTCGTCCCCCTCGACCTCGCGCCTGACGACCTTGACGAACCCTCCGAGCCACCTCGCGACGTCCTCCTCGGCTCTGCGCTCGGCCTCGCCTCCCACGGCGTCCTGCTGCTGCTGGAGCTCGCCGAGGACCCTGACGACGCCGTCGACGCCGTCGCGCGTGAGCTCGCCCGGCTTGGCGCGGCGCGCGAGCGGCTCGAGCGCGGCGCAGAGGGCGGCGGCGTGGACGGTGGCGAATGCGAGGTGCGCGATGGATGGGAACAGCGAGGTGAAGTAGAACTCAAGCTGCGGCGCTGAGGTGGTGGGCGCGGCGGCGGGCTCGCAAACTCAACTCGGGGGGTCTCTCTTGCTCGCTGTTCTCACCCGTGAAGCACTAGTACACGCCCTGCCGAGAGTCCAAAAGCAGGCGCGTTCCTCGTCCTCGCCGACCCAAAGTGTCTGTTCGCCCTCGAGCTGCATCTCGCTCACCGGCCGCTCCCCCTCGCCTGCCCGTCGTCACTCTCCTCGTCCGAGTCGAGCTCGAGCTCGAGCTCCCTCGCCGCCTCGCGGTCGAGCGGCAGCCTGACGCTCTGCCCGCCCCAGCCGGCCCCGACCGCCCCGGCCGCCCTCGCCCTCGCGCGCCACGCCTCGGTGCGGTCCCACGCCCAGCGCGCCGCGTACGCGCACCCGACAAGGAACGCGCCCGCGAGCGCGAGGTCGACCATGTGCCCGAGCGTGCGCCACACGAGGCCGTGCGCGGCGGCGGGGCGGCGCTCGCGGCGAGGAGGGGGCGTCGTGTCGGACCCGCCGTCGCTCGGCGGCGACGAGGCGAGGTCGAACGCCCTGCGGAGGGACGAGGGCGAGAGGGACGTGACGAGGACGACGGCGTTGTGTGGCGCGGGCGGGAGCGCGTCGAGGTGAGGGCGGGCGTGCTCGTCTGCGGGCGCGACTCGGAAAAGGGTCAGTCTCCCTCGCCTCGTGAGAATCGAGTGGAGGAACGAGGCGACGGACCGAGTGCCCGTGCCCATGCAGCCCTGTCGTCGTCGTCGTCGACGCCGTCGACCGTCAAGTGGGCGACGCGCACCTCCTTGTTGGCCGCGCCTTTGCCGCACGTGTCGCGCCAGCCGCGTGCCCACGCGAGGACGGTCCCCTCGACGGCGTCTGGGACGAGCGTGTTGGACGGTGCGGCGGCGTAGCGGTCCCACAGCGAGTGGTGCGAGGTTGAGTTGTCGTCGTCGGCGCGTGGAAGGAGGGCGAGGTCGTCGAGGGCGAGGTGGTCGACGCTGAGGACGAGGAGGGTGCCGCACGTGTGGAAGCCGGGGAGGAAGGCGACGGTGCCGACGGGCTTGGCGAACGCGTCGTCGTCGAGGCCGAGGAAGGGCGAGGGGGAGGAGAAGCCGAGGAGAGGGATGCGGGCCGAGGGGAAGGGTGCGGCGAGGGCGAGAGTGCAGGCGGCGAGGGTGGCGAGGAGGGCAGCTGTGCTCGACAGCATCGTGTGTGCGGCCAGCGAGCGAGCTGGTCGAGGTGGGAGGCAGAGGTGCGCTTCTTGATGAGGGCGAGGGCGAGGGGGAGCCGAGCAGTGGTCGGCAACCTCGGGTGGACCGCTGTGTTGCTGAAGCTGCTGTAGGAGGTACGCTGAGTAGCTCTGGCATGACTGCAGTCTAGCGGAGCGAGGTGGGCGAGAGCTGCCGAAGCTCACAGGGCGGCCAGATCTGCACCGCCTCGTCCTCCCCCTCCTCCCCTCCCCCACTCCCTCGATTCAGCTCCAGCCAGCTCGGATAGCGCCACTCGCAGCACCCAAGATGGCACCACACGCACCTCCGCCATCCCTCTTGACCCCGACCACCGTCTACTCGCTCCTGTCGACCCTCGCCATCCTCGTCGCCGCCCTCGCCCTCGCAAGACTCGCCCTCCCCACCAACCGCTGCCGCAGCCCGGTCCACCGGTCAGTCCCCCTCCGCCTCGCCCGTGTCCACTCTACTCGCACCCCGCAGCGCGACCAGACGAGGACCGCTCCTCCTCGTTCCCCTCCCCCTCGTTCCCCTCCTCCTCGTTCCCCTCGTTGACCCCCGTCTCGCACACCGCCCGCAGGTACACGTTCGTCTGGCTCGCATTCGACGCCCTCATTCACTTCATCCTCGAAGGCTCGTTCATCTACCAGTCTTTCCCGCGACCTCGCACCGTCAACTCGAGCAAAGGTCCGTCTCCCTCTCCCCCTCCCTCTTCTCTCTCTCGTGTCCTCGCGCACTGACCGCCTCCTTCTGTCCACCCGCACGTCATCTCTGCAACCACCCTCGACGCCGCAGGTCCCTTCGCCCTTCTCTGGCAAGAGTACGCCCTCGCCGACACGCGCTGGGGCACCTCGGACCCGACCGTCGTCGCCATCGAGCTCATCACCGTCCTCGGCGCCGGCCCGCTCGCCGTCTACTGCGCCGCAAAGATGTGCGGCACGAGCGAGGCCTGGAGGTTCTGGATGTGAGTCGCCCGCGTTCCCCCTCGTCCTCGTCCTCGTGCGTCCGCCTGTCGCGGCGCCAGCGCTCGTACTTAGGGCACTTCGGCTGACTCTCGCCTCTTGTGCGCAGCGTCATTCTCTCGTGAGTCCCTTGCCTTTGACCATCTCGCAGGCGGCGGCCTGTCAAAGCTGCGCCCGCACCTCACTCACGACCCTCTCGCCCTCCCCCTCTTTCCTCAACACAGCGTCGCCGAGCTCTACGGCGGCTGGATGACGTTCGCTCCCGGTGCGTCTCGCGCGCTCTCTCTCTTTCTCCCACTCTCTGCCGACTGCGCGAGCGCCGCCGCAGCACGCCTGACCTCTCGGCGTCCTGGACGCGCGCGCGCACACACAGAGTGGATCTCGGGCTCGCCCTCGCTCAACACGTCTCACTGGCTGTACACCTACGTGTACCTCCTCTTCTTCAACGGCCTGTGCGTCCTCGCCTTTCCTCCTTCCGCCCGCCTCGAGACCCGACTGACCCGACCCTCTCTCCCTCCCCTCCCTCGTCCCTCGCCCCTCCCGCCCCACGCGCATGCAGCTGGGTCATCATCCCGCTCGCCCTCATCGCCGACTCGGGTCGGGAGATCTGCGCCGCGCTCGGGCGCGACGCGGCGGCGGGGCGCGCTGGGGCGGCGTCGCGAGCGGGCGCGCTCGAGGCCAAGGCGAGGGCCAAGGCGGCGTAGCGTGGCGGGCGCGCAAGGACGAGCTGGACGAGCAAGCGAGCGTGGGCGCGGGTGCGACGTCCGAAAGAGAGAGAGGAGAGGACGCTCGAGGAGGAGGTCCGAGCCGGCCTTCTCTTGAGCTCGCAGGCGGCCCCTCTCCTGTGCTGCAGGTCTGCTCGAAGCGCCGGGCCCACACTCGCTCGCTCGTACTCTCGCTCCAGCTCTCACGCGAACGAGGCCTCACCTGCGTGAGCTGCGCGACGGCCAGCTCTCGAGGCCCGACCCGGCCGCGCCTGTTCCCCCTCGCTCTCGCGCTCTCTCGCTCTCGTCCTCGCACGGCAGACGAGCCCGGCATGTCCCGCTCGAGCCTGAGAGGGCTAGATCCTGCGAGCGCGAGAGGGCGAGTCAGTTTCTCGAGGCTCGAGCGCTCGCGACGGGCGGGACGCCCCTCGTCTCGCTCTCGGCGCCGCCGACTCGAGGTCCCACCACGCCGCGCGCGGTCGAGACCGAGAGACAGGTTGCCGCGACGCGCCGACGCAGGACCGAGAGCCGACCGGCGAGAAGGGACGGCGACAGGGCGCGCGGAGAAAGAGGACGCACAGGCTGCTTAGGTCGACAGGATGCTGCTCTCTCGCGGGATGTCCTTGCTCTTCTCTCAGGATGCAGAGAGGGGACCAAGTTCGCTCGTAGACAGCGTTGCAGGTGACCTGGTCGAGGCGAAGCGTCAGGACGGGCTCGTGGAAAGGAGGGGCGCAAAGGGCTCGACGACGTGTTCACGGGTCGCCGACAGGGAGAGGAAGAAGAAGAGGCGACGCACATGTACAAAGAGTGCTCGTAGACGTTTGTCGACACGCGCAGGAGCTGTCTCGGCGCGGGAAGAGGGGTCAGCGGATCGGGCTCTCGGCGGATGGCGAGGAGGGACGAAATGGGGGACGCACAGGCTCGACAGAACTGGTTGAGCGGGTTTGCCTTGACGAGGATCTGCGAGAGAGGGCGTGACGGTGTAGGCGAGGCGACATGTAAAGGGGCACGAGGAGGAGAGCGGGCGAGAGGGTGCAGGGTGGGAGGGGACGGGGAGAGGCGAGGTCAGCGCGCCGTCCTGCTCCGCAGCGTCCCTCGCCTGCCGCTCTTGGCCACACGGTCGAGGCTGTGGCGGACGACGGGGCTCGACGGGCGAATGCTCGGTGCTCGACGAGCGCGAGGATGCGCAGAGAGGGACGCGCCGCGTTGCCGAGGGATCATCGCCGCGCGGAACCCACGGCTGGTAGGATGTTACCTGCGCGACGTTCCCCAACGACTCGACGACGCGTCTCTCTCGAGCGCAGGAGTGGGCAGGGCGAGGGTGGGCGAGAAGGAGGTCAAACGCGACTCACGCGACAAGGGAGGGGAGGGCGAGAGACGGGAGCGAGGGGTGTGGAGGACTTGACGAGGTCGAGGCTGGCGGCGAGCGAGCAAGAAGCTAGAGTCTGAGCGACGAGAGCGAGAGCGAGTGAAGGGAAGGAGAGAGAGAGAGAGCCGCGCCCCGGATTTCGCCAAGTCCCGCCGGCCGGTCCTCCCCTCCCTCTACCTGCTCGCCCTCGTCACTCACGCTGTGTACACGCTGCTGCATCTGCTGCTTGCTCGCTCTCGAGTCAACTCGGCCAAACAGCCGCCCGCCCAAGCCGGTCAGTCTTCCTCACTCGCACCTCCTCGTCCTCCTCCCTCGCCGACCCTCCAACGCCTGCCCTCGGCACCGTGCGGCTCCATGTCGAGGTCTGGGTCTCGCCACTGACCTAGCCGCATCCCGCAGCACCATGCCCGCCTCTACACGGCCGCCTGTCGCCAACCAGCACGACCTCGCCTCTTCGGCTCATCTCTCTCGCCCGTTCACTCGCCGAACACACCTCTTGCCGACTCGCGTCTCAGCCCAGCATGTTCCACACCTCGGCATCTTCGACCCTGGCGCCCTCGCAAGCCCGGATCGACCTCGTCCAGGGCGCGCTCCCCTCCTCGGCCGGTCGCCCTCGCCGTCTCACCCCGCCCAGGCCGTTCAGCACGCCCAGGGGCGGCGAGACGGGCTCCCTCAACATGTCGACAGTGTCTCTCGACTCACGGCGCCGCGTCTCTGCCGGCAGCACCGCCATGTTCACTCGGTGCGCCCCCCTTCTCTCCCAAATTGCCCACGGGCGCCGTCGTTCCCGAGCTCACGCCTCCCTCGAGCGCACGTTCGCCGTACACTTCAACCACCGACGATAGTGCGCGCGTCAACGTGCTCGACCGTCAAGGCCCCACACCGCCAGATCCTCGACCCTCTCGCCCAACCAGTCGGCGACTCGCCCTCGGCCCTCGCCTCTTCCAGCTCAACAAGCACGACGCCCTGCTCAACGGTACTCTCGACTTCTGCGCCTGTTTCACCAACTTCTCGCTGCTGGATCGCCGAGTACTCGTCGCGCCGCCCCGACTCGATCCACCCTCCGCCCGACCGAGACCGCCAAAGCTGCGCCGGCCTCACGCCAAGGTCGACCAACACCTGCATGACTGCCCCGACTAGTGCGACAGCGCCCTCGCGTGCACGGCAGAGCGCAGCGCCGCATCGCTCATCGAGGTGCGCCCGTCTCGTCCCTCCCTCCTTCGCCCTCCCCGACCTGACTCGCCTGCCCGCCGAGGCGCTCTCCTGCAGGCTCTACGACCTCGACATCATCTCTCGATCATCACGGCGCTTGTCGGCACCGCGCTTGGCGCTGCAGGAGCGCCGTCCAGGGTCCGCCGGCTCGACTCGGCGCTTCTCGTCGCCGCACGTCTCGAGTTCACGACCGAGGCCGCCCTTCTCTCCCCGCCACTCTTCCAGATTCTTGCCTCAGCTCGCCAACCTGTACCGCGTTACGCGCTTGGCGCCTCGGCCGGCGTCGTCGGCAGCGCCGGCGCTGCACTCGCCGCTCCTCCCAGTTCGCCTTCCTCGACCTCTTCCCGCCCAGACGGCCGACTCTCACTTCGGTCGAGGCGTCTCTCGACCTTGTCGACACGTCGGGTCGGGCTCGACGAGTCGAGAGGTGAACGAGCGGGAGCGCGCCTCGACCTTTTCCTCGTTTCGCCGGGCTCGTCGCGCGCACCTCGAGACGGTCCCTGACTTGCAGCCCCTTGCCTACAGACCTCGACTCGACCCTGTCGCCGTCCCGGTCGACGCACTCGGCCCCCTCGACCACCGTCAGCCCCCCTTGCCCGCCCCTCAGCACGCCCTTTCCCCCTCCTCGCGGCCCTCTCGCCGACCTTTGCCCGCCGCCGCTCGTCTCGCCCATGTGCGCCCGCCCACCTCTCCACACACCCCTCGTCGCCCCACAGCCCCTCCCGACCCGACGCCGCACCGCCCTCGACCGCGCTCGACGCTCCTCGCGCCAAACGGCGCCGACCTCGCCCTCGCCCTGCGCCGCTCGCCGCCGCACCTCTGCGCACTCGGGACGAGACGGGCGACGTGCGGGACGTGCGGCGGGTGGTGCGCAGCGGCCGTAGCCGTCGAGACGACGTGCAACACGGCCAAACGTTCTGCGCCTCGGCGCGCACCGAATTTCCGCGGCGAGCCCGGCGCGAGCCAGTGCTCCCGGCTCTCGACGCTGCTCGACGCCGTCGCTGCTGAGAGAGGGGACCTGTCGAGAGCGTCCGCGCGAGGAGGGAGAGGCGCCAGACCGCGAGAATGAGAGACGAAAGCAGGATTTCGAGCGACAAGATACGCTCGAGTCGACTGACTCGAGGTACTTTCGGCGACTTTGCTAAGTGCGAGTTGCCGCGTTGCGTACGTGCGGAGATCTGCGTCAAGTGGAGCTCCCTGATTTTCGGACTTGACCGAATAAGCGAACGTTGTCGAGCATAGTAAAGCTCGGTAAGTCGATGCGGGAGGAGAATAGCACCGCCCGCTCTCGCGGACTGGGCTCAGCACAGCCGCTGCGGCTCGAGGGACAGCGCCAGACTACTGTACACTGTTCATAACGAGTATCCGAGTGACCAGATCTGCAGCCAGAGAGAGTCAGAGAGAGCGAGCCCTCAGCAAACACTCACCTCGTCTCGCCCGTCTCGCTCTCCCTCTCCCCTCATCACTACGTGTCCTGCTCTACAAACACGCCAGTCATGAGCCAGAACAACCTCCAGCTCCCCGCCGCACCGCCGTCGCTCCTCGAGCACCCTCTCGTCGTCTCCCAAGGTCGCGGCCTCGTCGCGTCAGAGCAGCAGTTCATCCTCAAGGACTACCGCGCGGAGTCCACGGAGCCGCCCGTCGACCTCAACGTCGTCATCGCCGAGGGCTGGAACGTCGTGGGCGAGTACCCGAACGCCGAGTCGGGCCACCTCGTCGCCTCCATCCGCCTGCGCCGTGTCGGCTCGCCCGTCCGCTCCGTCGTGATCCACAACTCCACGCTCGGCGCGAGCGCCGTCAAGGAGCTCTTCCGCGAGCTCAGCGACTTTCACAAGCTCGTCACGCTCAAGTTCGACTCGTTCAAGCTCCTCCTCCCGTCCACCCTCGACCCCATCCGCGAGCACTGCCTATTCCAGGGCAAGTTCCCCAAGCTGTCGACGTTCACGCTCATCGGCAACGAGCATGCGCCCGTGCGTGGATCGTTCCCCTGTCCTCTACACATTTTCCAAGCGCCGACCAGGCAAATTCGCACCCTTCGCAGGTTGGCCTCCTCAACTCGTCCACCTCGCTCAAGGCGGTCACGCTCCTCGGGCCGTTCACGCTCGACGAGTTCGACCTCAAGAACCTCGTCCGCCACCTCCCGTACCTCAAGCACCTCGCCGTGCTCGTCAAGAACGGCGGTCAGGCGTCCGCAACCATCCTCAACGAGCTTCTGGTGCGTCCACACCTCCTCCTATCCTCTCTTGCCCTACAGCGTGGAGCTAACGACTGTCTCTGCGCGCAGGAGATCGTCGAGGCCGAGGACGGCTCAGACGCGCCTCACCCTCTCGACTGCCTCGCACTCGACCTCGGCGGCGAGGGCATCGGCGAGCTCCTCAAGGTCGTCAAGTACTTGCCCGAGCTGCGCCACCTCGTCCTCGTCCACGTCGGCGCCCTCGCCGTCGACGAGCTCAAGCGCCTGCGCGTCGCTTGCCCCGAGCTCGAGACGCTGTTCCTGTTCGTCGGACACGGCGTCACGGCGGTCCCGTGGCCATTCTCGCGCGTGAGTCGACCTCCTCTCATCCTCCTACAGCCCGCACGACTCGACCTGACCCCGTGACTCTTATTGCGCGCAGACCCAGGCGATGTCGGTCCTGAAGACGTTCAAGAAGCTCCGCATCCTCGGGTGGGATATCGAGCACATCACCAAGGGCGCCCCGCTCGACGCCCTCGCCGCCGCGACCGCCATCTTCAAGCGTCTCCGCCACCAGTGCAGCTCGCTCGAGACGGCCTACCTCGTCAACAAGGACGCGACCGAGTGCGTGACGCCCTTTTTCTCTTTCGCGCGAGCGGCACGCGATGGCACGAATGCGACCGAGACTGATCCTGCCCTTTCGTACGCAGCTCGAGCGACGGCATGATGTGCGACCTCAGCGGTGGTTCGCAGCTCGCGCTCGTGCCGCGTCGCACGACGATGAATGAGGTGCGTCGCCTTCTCAGCCTACCCTCCCGGAGTCCTTATTGACTTGCCCCTTCTCCGGCAGGCCGTCACCGCGTTTCTGAGCGTGTAGCGAGGGCGCGAGGAGCCGCAGAAGACGGCGAGCCGAGGGAAAGACGCGGCGAGACGGTCTGGGTCCGAGCGGCGGGGCCGAGTCTGGGTTTCTTTTAGTGTCAGTATTCGTAGCGCGCCGCAACAAGTGCGAAGTGCTCCCAAATTGATTCCCAGGGGGGCCGAGAGCGCGAGAGACCTGGGCGCACCGCAAAAGAGACAAACTCTCAGCAAGTTTCCGCTGACAAGCGCGACGACGAGGAGATGGTCGTTCCAGACCTTGCATTTCTTCTCTTCTCGAACTCGTGTGGCCCTCGATCTATCTGTCGAGACGTGTGCTCGACGATTCGTCCCCGTCGAGGACCCTGCAACGACGTCTCGCAGCAACTTTCCGCTGACGAGCGCGACGACGAGGAGATGGTCGTTCCAGAGCTTGCAGTTCGTCTCTTCTCGGGCTCGTGTGGCCGTCGACCTATCTGTCGAGACGTGTGCTCGACGTTTAGTGCCCGTCGCGTACCCTGCAACGACGTCCCGCTGCAAGTTTCCGCTGACAAGGGCGACGAGGAGGAGATGGTCGTTCCAGACCTTGCAGTTCTTCTCTTCTCGGGCTCGTGTGGCCCTCGATCTATCTGTCGAGACGTGTGCTCGACGATCGGGCCCCGTTAAGGACCATCTGCCAATTTCGGCCTCTCGACTGCTCGAAAACGTGGAAGAAGAGGAAGTGGACACGCTCCAGCTCGCAGACCCGCTCTTCCGGGGTCCGCCTTGCTCTCGCTGTACCTCTCGAGATCCCGAGCCGGCCTGCCCCGGCGCCGACGATGGCGATGCCGTTACCGACCAGGTCGCGGTCGTGCCGGTGAGCGACGCTCGGTGCGGGCTCGAGGACCATGTGCGCCGGCGCTCGCTGCTGCGTCGCGGCAGATCTGATGACCGGTACAGCGGGTCCAAGTGGGCGCAGCCGAGGGCGGATGCGCGACTGGCTGCGCGAACGCGAGCGTCACCGGGACGGGCGTCGTCGAGGCGGGAGCAGGTCCAGAGGGCGGGTGTCGAGCGCCGTGAGCGCCGAGCAGAGAGTCGCTGCACTTGGCGTGCGGTATTCGAGCAGGTCTGATATCCCGACTGCACGCAGCGAGGGGATCTCCTTGCGCAAGCTCGCTCCAGAGCGTGGGGAGCGGGAGCGAGCGAGAGCTGACGCAGCGGCAGGTGCCGCAGCTCGTTGCGGGGCACTGCGCAGCTCCGTACCAGATGGCTGCACTGCCGATGCGCGTTCGAGCGCCCCTGGCGGACGGGCCACGACGAGCGAGTCTGGCGCGCGCTGCAGAACGAGCCGGCGGTCGCAGAGTCGCAGCCTCAGTCGCAAGGAATTCGACGAGCTGCGGGATCTGTGACTGCGAGGTGCAGGAACGCACTGCCGATGCCGGAGAACCTGCAGACCGTTGACAGCACATGAGAGAGGCGGCGAGATGAAGTCGAGAGCAGCCTCGCCGGCGGGCGTCGCACACTGAGCAGAGGCTGCCGCGCTCGGGACCCTGTGGCGGTGGAGAGGCTGGAACGCAGCTCGAGCAGCAGCGGTACTCGCTCGGAGCCGAGCTGAGCGAGAGCGGGCTCGAGGTGGTCGAGAGGAGGAGCGACCAAGCACGCTCACTCTCGACCACCAGCTGCAGCGACACGGCCAGAGCCACGAGGCTGCCGAGCACTGCCCACACCCCCTCGCGCCACCGACCACACGGCCCACTCGAGCGAGTCGCCACCCTCGTCGCCCCGCTCGTCTCGCGCCTCCTCCCGGTCCCGTCCCGGCCGCGCCAGCTCCACCACAGCCACCGCGGCAGCAATGAGCACCACCCAAGGAGGCGCTCAACTCGCCAACCTGCTCAACGCCGTCACCGCCGCAACCCCGGGCACCCTTACCGTCGACCCACCTGCACCGCCCGCCCACTCGCACGCGCCACCTCCAACATCAGCGACCGCGGTGCCAGGACACGCACCCGGCTCGCACATCAAGCCCGTAAAGGCCGAGGATCACTACCGTGAGTCGTTCGCCCATCTCCTCGCCCTCCTCGCACTCGTCCTCCCTCCACACAACCGGGCGTCGCCGCCGCTCGGCGCACTCTGCCTCGCACAGTCGTCCTGAAATGCCACCTTCGACTGTCTGCAGCGTCACCTCCTCAAGGTCCGCCCACACCCGCCGCCACCACGTCCTCGCCTGGCTCCTTCACCATCCCGCTCCCCTCCTTCGTCCACGACGACCCGCTCTCGTCCGACCCCGACTCGTCGTCCGACGAGGACTCGTTCGGCGAGCCCAAGCCTGCGCGCCCCAAGCGCTTCTCCAAGTCGACCGGCCTCGAGCGCCCCGTCCCGAGCTACTACTACGACGCCGAGTACGACCCGGGCACGGCCGGCACCAAGAAGCGCGGCCGTCGCGGTGGGTACAAGGGCGTGCCCGTCTTCGAGCCCACCATCGCCGACTTTGCCGACAACGGCGGCTTCTACGGCTACGTCAAGCGCATCGAGAAGTACGGCCTCCGCAGCGGCATCGTCAAGGTCGTCCCGCCCAAGGAGTGGTGCGTACTGCCCACCCGCCTCCCCTTGCCCCTTTCTCGAGCACACACTCACGATGCCTTGCCTCGCCGCTTACAGGACCAATTCGCTCAAGCCGGTCGACAAGCCGCTGCGCTCGATCCGCCTCCGCGACGCCATCGAGCAGCACATGCTCGGCTCGCAGGGCCTGTACCGCGTCATGAACGAGGCCAAGACGCGCCAGTTCAACGCGGCCCAGTGGAAGGACCTCGCGACTCGCCCCAAGTGGCAGGCGCCCGACCTCGTCGGCGACGAGAAGAAGGGCGAGCGCTCCGAGCGCTCGGTCATCAGCGACCGCGCGCGCAAGCGTCGAGCGTCGGCGGCGGTCGACAGCAAGAAGGGCAAGGGCAAGGGCCGCGAGGACGACGAGTCGGACGAGGCGGCGGACGAGGACGGCGACGACGGCGGCGCGCCGGACTCGCCGAAGCGCAGGACGCCCGCCCGCCGCGCCAAGGTCGACGGCGCCGCCAAGATGGCCGCCGCCAAGGGCACCGGTCGAGGCCGAGGTGTCGCCGTCGCTGTCGACGAGCCGGCCGACGACGCCGACGTCGACGCGCCCGCGTCGAGCGCACCCGTCCAGAGCAAACGTCGCCGCGCGTCGATGGCGCCCGCCAACCCGACCGACGACGAGTGGGCCGCGTTCGCCGCCGGCCTCGACGAGCTCCCGCACGGCATGACGCGCGACGACTACACGGTCGAGCGCATGCGCGACTTTGAGCGGCGGTACTGGCGCACGCTCACGTTCGGCGAGCCGCCCATGTACGGCGCCGACATGGCCGGGTCCCTGTTCGACGACTCGACGTTGGCGTGGAACGTGGCGCACCTCGGCGACCTCTTGCCCAAGCTCGCGCCGCGAGGGTGCGACATCCCGGGCGTCGTGTCGCCGTACCTGTACTTCGGCATGTGGCGCGCGACGTTCGCGTGGCACGTCGAGGACGCCGACCTGTACTCGATCAACTACATCCACTTTGGCGCGCCCAAGTTCTGGTACTCGGTCCCGCAGGAGCAGTCGGAGCGGTTCGAGCGCGTCATGGCTGGTGCGTCTCTCTCTCTCTCTCTCTCTCTCTCTCTCTCCCCCCCCTCTCTCCCTCTCTCTCTCTTTGGCTCGTACCCTCGGTCTACTCGCCGTCGCACGTCGAGCGTGAGCCTGACCCTCTTCTCCCCCTCCCTCTTCTAGGCCTGTTCCCGACCGACCGCAGCAAGTGCAACCAGTTCCTGCGCCACAAGTCGTTCCTCGCGTCGCCCAAGATCCTCACCAACAACGGCATCACGCTCAACCGCTGCGTCCAGCTCCCGGGCGAGTTCATTCTCACGTACCCCAAGGGCTACCACTCGGGCTTCAACCTCGGCTTCAACTGCGCCGAGAGCATCAACTTCGCAACCGAGCGGTGGCTCCCGCTCGGCAAGGTCACCAAGCACTGCCAATGCATCGAGGACTCGTGCGTCCGCACCATCTCTCCTCGCCCTCGCCCTCCCCCTCGCCCTCGCGACTGACCAACAATGCCCTTCTCCCCTGTTCGCCCATCGCGCGCAGGGTCAACATCGACGTCACGACCTGGCTGCGGCAGGCCGCCAAGGACGAGCACCTCGACCGCGGCGAGCCGTGGCCGTACGACGAGCTCGAGGAGAAGGCGCTCCTCGCCCAGATCGAGGCCGAGGACCGCGCCGAGGCCGAGCGCGTCGAGCGCGAGAACGCCGTCATCGAGTCGGCCGCCGCCCTCGCTCGCAAGCGTGCGTCGACGGGCGCGAGCGAGCGGCCTGTCAAGAAGACCAAGCAGGCGGCGGCGCCGGCCTACCAGGTCCCGATGGTGCTCATGCCGGCCGTGCCCGGCGTCCCGCCCTCGGGCCCCCTGTACACGCTCTCGATCTTCCAGGCGCTCCAGAGCAACGACGTGCTCGCCGAGGTCAAGGCCCAGCTTCAGCAGCTCATCCAGCACCCAAGCGGCACCTGGCGCCTCGACACGCCCGTCCGGTTCCAGGTCGTGCCGCACCCGAACCCGCCGCCGCCACCACCCACACCCGTGTCCAGGAACAAGTTCGAGCCGAACCCGTACGCCGCATCGGCGTTCCACTACCCGAAGCAGGGCACGCCGAGGCCATCCGCCGGCGGCCCCTCCTCGAGCGCCTCGTCGTCGGCAACGCCGGCACCCGCGTCGGCCGCCGCCGCAGGACCCGCACACGTTGCCGCGCCCGGCTCGGTGCCTTTCGCTCGGCAGGCGTCCGCCGCCGCCGCCGCCGCCGCCGCCGGGCCCGTCCAGCAGCCGCAGCGCGTCGCGCCACCCCAGCCCGACTTCGCGTGCGCATTGTGCCCTGAAGCGAGCACCGAGGGCCTCGTCATGATCGGCGAGCCGGGCGTCAAGAGCAAGAAGCGCCAGGCGGCCCACCGTGTTTGCGTCATGTTCACCCGTGCGCCCACCCTTTCGCCCTCGCCTCCTTGAGCTCGTGCTCGAGCGAAATCCTGACTCTGCTTGACACACAGCGGCAACCTGGATCGAGATCGACCCCGAGTCGGGCGAGGAGATCGTGCGCGGGTTCGGCAAGATCGAGAAGGCGAGGTGGAAGCTCGTGCGTCCCTTCTCGCCCTCGCCCACCCTCTCAGTCCCTCGAGCACCCCTGACCGTCTCTCTTGCGTCGTCTCGCAGAAGTGCCAGCTCTGCGCCGAGTCGCACGGCACCAAGGGTGCGTCCCCTTTTCTCGCCTTCGCTTTCCCAAGTCGCCCGTATTGACCTTCTCCACCTCCTCGCTTTCAGTCCAGTGCACCAAGGGCAAGTGCATCAAGGCGTTTCACGTCACGTGCGCTTTGCGCGAGGACTCGGGCGTCCACCTCGACGCGACCATTCCCGACCTCGACGGCTCGGGCGCGCCGATCAGCATCCTCGAGCTCACTCGTGCCGCCACGCCGCCGCCGCCGGCACCCGCCGCGCCGGACAGCGTCGAGCCGCAGCAGCCTGTCGAAGCCGCCCGGGCGACCGATGCTCCTCCTTCAGCCGCCGAGCCCGAGTCGACTGCGAGCCCGACCAAGCCGATCCTGAACGGCGACCAGATCCAGCTCACCGTCCTGTGCCGCACCCACAACCCTGTGCGCCCCTACATTCTCTTTCTCTCGCGCCTCGCGCCGCCGTACTGACCCGCCGCACCCACGCAGACGTGGCAGCGCCTCGAGACCGAGCGCAAGGCGACCGAGCTGCACGACAAGGTCGACAAGCTGCAGCGAGGCGACCGTATCCGCGTGAGGACCAACGGCGGCATGTACGACGTCGTGTTCGACAGCAAGGACGACGACAAGCAGACGGTCGAGTACGTGTTCGAGGACGGGTGCGTCGGCTCGTTCCTCCTGGGCATCCCTCTTTCAGTCGCGCCGTCCTGACGCCTCTCTCGCCTCCTGCAGCAAGCGCGCATCGGTCAAGTGGAAGCTCATCGTGTGGCCCGACTCGCCCGAGAAGCAGCGCAAGAAGGAGGAGGCGGCCGCGCGTGCCGAGCGCGAGAAGATGGCCATCCTCGACCGCCCGGCTTACCGCGCCCCGGCCAAGCGCACGACGTCGGCGCATGCCGTCACGCCCGTTCCCGCCGTCGCGCCGGTGCAGCCGCCGCATGCGCCGCACCCTGCGATGCAGCCGTTCTACGCCGCCGCCGCCACCGCCCTGCCGCCGACCGCCGCACCTTTGTCGCACGCCCAGGCGGCCCACCTGCAGGCGTACGGCTACCCCTCCGCCCCTCCCGTCCCCGCCCCACCTGCCTCGTACGGCTACCCGTCCCAGCCCCAGCCCCAGTCGCACCCTGCTCCGCCGCAGAGCGCCTACTACCCGCCGGCGCCGCACCTGGCTCCGCAGCTGCCGACGTACTCGACGGCCCCGCCGCAGGGCTACGGCGGCTCGGCAGGGCCGCACTACGCGTCGTACGCGTCTGCCACGGGCCAGCAAGGGCTGCCGCCGCACCCTTACGCCGGCGGTCCGCCGGCGTGAGGTTCGTCCAGTCGACGTCGTCGCGCTCAAGGCGGTCATGTTTCCTCCCTTCTCCCCATGTGTACCATCTCTTTCTCGCACCTTTGTCGCACTCCCTCGTTATCGCTCGCGCCGTGCACCCGTCTGTGACCTTCCTCGACCTCTCTCGACCTCTCTCTCTGCTTGTTCTACCGCGTGTGTTTTGCGCCCTCTCTGCAATGATTAGTGCATGTCCGTATCGACTGTGCGCAAGGCGCTGTGCACCGAGAGCAGCGAGCAAGCGAGCGAGGGACTTGGCCGTGGTTGGCCGCCGTCTCGGCTGTGCTTCCCTCGCCTGTCCTCACTCGCTCACCATGCTCGGCCTGAAGGCAACGATGGTGCGTCCACTCTCCCTGCACCTGTACAAGCTGCGGCAGCTGATCCTTGCCCTCCCCCGACCTCTCGTCCTCCCGCGCCAAAATCCCGCCCCGACTTCATCGCTCCCTCGCTCCCCGCCTCGTCCACCGCCTCTGCCGACCCTCGCTGTGGATGCGTACGAGCAGAGCATCATCGACAACTCGGGTGCGCTCGTCGCCGAGTGCGTCAACGTCCTCAAGACGAAGACTGGCCACGGCATGGCCCGCATCGGTCCGTCCCTCTCCTCCCCTTCCCTCCCTCTCGCCACGCCCGGCCGCCCAGAGCCATGTGAGAAAGCTGACTCAAGCTTGCATCCTCTCAAACCAGGTGACGAGATCGTCGTTGTCGTCAAGCGCGCGCGGCCCAACCCGCTCAACGGCCCCGGCGCGAGCGCCTCGTCGTCGGCGCCCAAGGTCCGCCGCGGTGACGTGCGCCGCGCCGTCGTCGTGCGCACCAAGTACCCGACGCGCCGACCCGATGGGCGGTACGTCCGCTTCGACGACAACGCGGCCGTCCTCGTCAACAACAAGAAGGAGATGATCGGGAACCGCATTGGCGGCGTCGTCGCGGCAGAGCTGAGGAGTCGAGGCTGGGGCAAGATCGTCAGCTTGGGTGAGTCGCGTCAGATCGTTCCCTCGCATCGTCCGGGGGACGTGGCTCGAGGCCATGAGCGCCGGCGGGCCGTCCTCCTCGTTCATTGCGAGCGATCTGACCCCTTTCTCCTCCCACAGCGCCCAAGGTCGTCTGAGCAGCGGCGCTGAAGGTCTGAGCGGGCACGAGGGTCGATGAGTGGTCGAGGAGGGGCCAGGAGGGGCACACGAGGACGCACATTGTCTGTACCACCACTTGCACTTTCGACTTTTCCCTTCTATCCTCTCTGTCCTGTCGGTCTGTCTCTTTCGCTCTCGCCTCGCTATCATCTCTCAGATAAAGAGAGCTGCCACAAACCTTCGAGAGATATGATGCGAGATGCAAGAGCTCCGAGAGTGACAAGGCGACGGCGGCGGTACACAGAGAGAGAGAGCGGCACGCAAGAAAGACGATGCCCTCGCGCAGCCCGACCCGCTCATCGCCTCGCCCAAATCGCCGCGACGGTTCCTGCCGTCGCGAGGCCGACAACGAGGCCGGTCGAGCCCATGACGAACGGGCATTTGAGCGCCGTGCCGTCCGGGTCGCGGTCGACGGGGCACCTGCCGACGCCGGCCCACGCGAGCCAGCTCGCGACCCAGCCGAGGCCGCAGTACTTGGACCGGTTGACGTCCCAGTAGCCCTTGGCCTCGCCGCGCTCCCACCCCTCGAGCACGCCCTCGCGCATGCGGTCGTCCATCTCGCCGAGCTGGGCGAGGCTCCACCGGTCCGAGACGCGGATCATCCACTCCATGCGGCGCTCGATCGTCTCCTTGTCGCCCGCGTTCTCCTTCTTGCGCAGGCCGGCGCGCAGGAGCCCGACGTTGTCGATGGCGCGCCCGGCGTTGTCCGGCAGCGCCTTCTCGAGGCGGCGCCGCAGGCGAGCGGCAACGCGAGGCCCTTTGCCGTTGGTCGAGACCATGACGCTGAGCGCGCCGCGGCGCAGGGTCGAGCCAAAGTAGAAGTCGCACTCGGGCGGGACGTCGGCGACGTTGACGAGGAGGCGGCGGTCCTTGCACGCCGTGTACACGGCTCGCGACAGGGGCGCGTCGTCGAGCGCCGTGAGGACCATGTCGAACCCGTCGATCTCGGCGTCGACGTTGTGCTCGGCGAGGCTGCGCCGGCGCCACTCGATGTCGATGCCGGCTCGCCCGGCGACCGCCTCCGGGTGCGACGACGTGAGGCGCCACGACACCTCGTCGCAGGTGCCGTCCTCGGGCGCAAGGACGACGATGCGCTTGGGCTTGGCGCACAGGAGGTGATACAGGCGCGAGGCGGCGACGGCGCCGCCGCCGATGAGCAGGATCGAGAGCTTCTTGGTCTGCCACGCGAGGAGGAGCGAGCCCGAGGGCTGAGGAGCCTCGAACGGGGCGGTCGACGAGTGTGTCGGATCGGTCGAGGTGGCTGCTGCGCCGGGGACCGACGAGGGCGAGAAGAGGGAAGGGTGCGGGACGGGGCCGGGGTCGGCGAGAGGGTCGCTCGTGACTGTGCCGGCTGGTGCAGGTGGCATGGTGGGGTCGTGCGTAGCTGATAAGCTCGACTGGGAGGCGGACGGGTTCTGTGCGGCTGAGGACGGGCGAACCTGGTCAGTGAGAGATGAGGAGGTGGAGGACAGCGAGCGACGCACCGGTCGAGCTGGGGCGCACGCAGGCTACTGTTGAGCAGTGACTGAGCGGCTAGGTGCAGACGACAAGCTGGCTCGAGGCTGTCGAGAGCGAGGGTGGCCGTCGTCGAGGCGACTCTCCCCCGCTCGGCTCGAGGCCAACGTCTCTCGCACAGTCGACGCCTCGTCTCGCTCTCCTGGCTCGCGCTCTGCAAGCTCACTCGGACGTACAAAGAAGCCAGAGGAGAGGGAAGAAAACGCAGTGTCTGTTGTTCGTTGCAAGCGGTCGTCAAAGAGGGAGGGGAGGAAGGGAAAAGAGGGAGGGCGATGATGTGCAACAGGGACTCGCCCAGAGGCAGAGCGGCAGAGGGATCGTGATCTCGAGACGACGACGACGAGGACGAGGGGGGACGAGGTAGAGGAGGGATGACATGTACGAGCGGGGAGACGAGGTGGGAGCGAGGGTGCGAGGGAGGGAGGGGAGCTCTACGCCCGGCGCTTGACCGGCGAGGGCGGCGGCGTCGGCACGAAACGCGCCGTCGGCGTCGACTTGACGAACCGCTTGCGCAGGCGGCGCGCCGCAGCGCCGTCGGCCGGCGTCTCGTCGGTCGCCGCATCGGTCGCTGCCGCCGCGTCGCCGTTGCAGAAAGCGGCGGTCGGGATGGCGACGCCTGCGCCGCTCCACGGGTCCGGGTACGAGCATCCGCTGACCGGCTGGTAGAACGACGCCGAGTCGGCCGACTGGACCCACCCATTGCCGAGGCTGATGCTGCTCGAGGCGTAGCCCGACGGGAACGACGTCGGCTGCGCGTCGACGGCGAGCGTGATGCGGCTGCCCGTCGGCGTGTAGGTCGGCAGGTCCGAGACGGGCGTCGCGTACGGGCCCATGGTCGAGCCGCCGGCGACGCCGAACGACGAGGGCGGCCACGCCGAGTACTGCGTGTACTGCGCCTGGTCCGAGAAGGTGCCGGCGCCGGCACCGCCCGTCATCCACGGCGCGAGCGTCGACGCCGGGACCTGCGAGTACGTCTGGTCGAACTGCTGCCCGATGGCCTCGCACGAGCCGATGACGGTGCGCGGGTTGGCGGGGACGTAGCCCTCCTGGAGGCCGAGCTGGTAGTTCCACATCGGGTTGGCGATCATGCCGAGCGTCGTCGAGTAGCCCGTCTTCCACGTCCAGAAGAACCAGTGCTGCGCGAAGGGGCAAAGCGAGAAAAGAGTCAGTGGCGGCGACGAGGACGACGGACGCGGGCGAGAGAAACGGTGCGACGTACACGAAGAGCGTCCATGTGCGTCTCGGCGACGAGGCGAAGGCCGTCCCGGGTCGTCTGGTTCCAGGTGCGGTAGTCCTGCGCAGGGAAAGAGGGAAAGGCCAAGGGTCAGTACGGGCGTGCGACGGGCTCGGCGACGACGACGACGACGGCAACGACGACGCCGACGAGCGAGTCTTGAGGTTGAGAGAGGGTGCGAGAGGAAGAAAGAGGCGACTCACGCGCCACGGTGCGCAGTCGCCGACGCGCGGGAACAGGTCGCTCGGCGCGGTCGTGTTGCCCGGGATGTAGTAGGTCCCCTCGTAGCGCTCGCCGTTGCCGACGTTGTTGAGCCACTTGCCGCAGTCGTTGACTGTCGCGCGAGGGGGAAGAGGGAGGTCAGCGACGAGCCGAGGAGGGAGAAGGAGGAGGGGAAGAGGGAGGACGCACTCGCGAGGGACCACTCGCCGCCCATCGTGAGGCCGAACGTGTTGGTCGAGACGTTCATGTTGGTCGACCAGTACTGACAAGGCTGCACATCGCGAAGCTCCAGGACGTCAGGGACCGACCTCGTGCGAGCGAGGACGACAAGGCGAACGAGAGGAAGGGTTGACGCACCAGCGACGCCTGGTACTGGAGGCCCCACTCGTTCTGAGTGTCGAAGCACAGGTACCGGTGCGAGTCGAGCGAGACACGGTCAAAGCCGTTCAAGAGGCCCTCGAAGCCGCCGACCGACGAGTTGCCGAACGGGATGAAGCCGTCGTGGAACGTGATCCAGGGCCCGTTGCCCGTGCCCGTGCCGCCGATGGCGCGCATCTGCTCGTAGATCTGGACGTAGCTGCGCAGAGAGAACAGGAGGGTCAGGGTCGACCTCGAAGGGGAGAGAGAGTGCGAGGACGAGGGGAGCGAGGACGTACAAGGACCGGAGCGGGTCGACGCCGATCGTGTTGGCGTACGGCTCGTTGAGGACGCTGAACATGGGCACGACGTTCTTGTACGCCGGCTGGCTGATGAACTCGGTGACGGTGCGGATGTAGTCGAGCGTGCGCTGGGCGTTGGCGAGGCCCATGACGCCGCTCAGGAGGTTGATCGAGCCCTGCTTGCCCGAGTGGTTGTACCCGTTCTGCGACCCGGGCACGGCGTGGAAGTCGAGGTTGATGCGCAGGCCGTACTTGCGGGCCCAGCCGATCGCCTTGAGGATGTCTGCGTCGCGAGAGCTCGACCGGTTAGTTCGTCGGCCCTCAATCAGGGGCATGGACGATCGAGGAGAGAGAGAGAGAGCAGGGACGTACACTCCCACGCGACGCCGGCAAGGAAAGGCTCGCCGTCCCAAGTCTCGATCGCCCACCAGCCGAACGGGATGCGGACCCAGTTGAGGCCGGCGCCGGCGATCTCGGCAAAGTCCTTCTCGGTCTGCGGACGCGGATGTACAGGTGCGGGAGGGAGACGAGGGAGGGCAGGACGAGGAGGGGAGGGGAGGGAGGGAGGGACGAGAGTCAGGGCGAGGATCCTTGGGGCGAGGGCGATGACCGAGGAAAGGGAGAGGCGACGCACGATGAACGTGTCGTAGTGCTCGCGCATGGCGTTCGACAGGTTGGACCCGAGCTGCTGCGACAGGGTCCACTCGTCGATGGCCTTGTTGTCGGCCGAGCCCGGGTTCACGCCGTCGAGGTTGAACGGCTCGAACATGCCCGGGACGATGAACGGCTCGAGGACGAGCCAGCTGTGTGAGAGGGACACACGAAAGTGTCAGGAAGGGTCGCGAGAGCGGGGCGAGGAAGACGAGAGGGAGGGGGACGCACCCGCCGATGTTGACGCCCTGGATCAGGTTCTTCTCGTAGTCCCACTCCTCGTCGAGCGCCGGGACGTCACGCTGTGCGCGCGCCGTGTCGTTGAACGGGATCGAGACCCAGAAGCCGCCTGCAGGTAGGTGAGGCAGGTAGGTGATGGGGGAAGAGAATGGGCGAGTCAGGTTCCGTCGGTCGGCGCGAGAGGGAGGGAGACGAGGACGGACCGAGCGAGTTGTTGTACCGGAACGACGAGCCGTCGTCCAGGTAGACCATCGAGCCGTTGCCGCCGTACGGGGCCGTCTTCCAGTCGGTGACCGGGTTCGACTCGGTCGGGATGCCCGCCTCGGTGCCGTCGTTGCTCGCCTTGCGGCTCGCCTTTGACGCGTCGTCGCCGTCGTTGCTCTTGGTGATGGCGATCGGGATGGCGATGGCGGCGACGATGATGAGGAGCAAGAGGACGAGCCCGGCGATGACGAGCTTGCGCATGCGCGAGCTCTGGCGCGCCCACCAGCTGCCGCCGGCCGCGCCTCGCGCGTTGGCGCCCTTGCGCAGCGTCGCGTGCCCGCCTGCGCCGCCGCCGGCGCCGCCGAGGGCGTCCTGGCTCGCGTACGCCTCCTTCGAGTACGAGTCATTCCTCGAGCCGGTCGGGACGCCGCGGTAGGCGCCGGCGCCAGCGCCGGCGCCGGCGCCTGCGGCCATGGCCATGAGGTTGGCCTGGGACCCTTCAGGCGAGTACGAGTGGCCGGTCGCGGCGTCGTCCCAGGTGCCGCTGTGGGTCGCGGCGCCGCCCTGCATGCGGTACGGCTGCTGCGAGAGGCGCGAGCCGACCGTCCCTCCTGCTCCCGCTCCCGCTCCTGCTCCTGCGCCCGCGCCGACGGGCAGGCCCGTGTCCGAGTACTGCGACTCGAAGGTGGCGGTCGAGGGCGAGCGCTCGTGGAGCCAGTTGGGGTTGGGCGACTCGCGCGCGGCGCCAGACATGGAGGCGTACGGCGGGTTGACGACCTCGGGCGAGCGCGGGGTGACGGTGCGGATGGGCGGGTAGGTCGAGTCCGAGGTCGGGACCTGGGCGTACAGGTCGGCCGACGAGAGCGGGCGGCCGTGCATCGACGACGGGTTGGACATGAGGGAGAGGCGGTGCTGCTGTGGACGAGGGGGCGGGCGCAAGGGGGGCGAGGGTCAGTGTGGTGGTCCTTGTGTCGAGCACGTGAACCTCTGTGTCGGAACGGGGCAGGGAGCCCTGCGAGAGCGAGAGCCAAGAGTCGATGGACGGGCCGGGGACGATCCTCGCCTCCTCGCGTCCTCGTGCGCCCGCCCCGACCACCGAGCCCTGCAGCGCCTGGCCAGCTCCCCTGCCCGTGTCCCTCAGAGAGCGAACCACGGAACCCTCGATGCGAGAGCGCGCGCTGCGTGACCCGGTCGCGCGCCTCGTCGTTCGACGTGACCTAGAGGGCTCGGCACCTCCGGACGTTCCGACGACCTCGCCGCGCACAGAGAGAGGGGACGGACCGAGAGCGTGTGGGCGCAGTCGATGCGCGTGCTGTCGAGCTAGGCGGACCACAGGCGGACGACGACGAGAGGGCGAGTGCGGATCGTGGGAGCCGGCGAGCTCACCGAGCCTCGAGATGGAGAGGCAGGGGGCGGAACGAGAGGCGGCGGCGCGCGAGTCGAGCGGCGTGCGGCTGTCCTGGGCGTGTCGGACGAGTCGGGGCGGTCGAGGGTGCTCTGCGTGAGAGAGGGCGAGCGGGAAAAGCGAGAGGAGCGGTCCCTTGTCAAGCTCTCCCCCTCTCGTCGCCTCCGCACTCTCTCAAAGTGGGCTCGTGCCCCGGGATCACCATCGCCACCGAGACAAGCACTCTCTCTCGCACTGTGACAAGCACACTCGAGAGAAAGCAACTCGTAACAACATGGACACTGAGACGAACGCAAAGAAAAGCTACCCTCGAGCCCGTCGACGTCGACCAACTCAGGCCGCCTGCGCCGCCTGCTCCTTCCTGCGCTGCGTCAACGCCGGGTCCTGGAACGTCCGGTGGCACCTGTCGATGCCGGGCAAGACCTCGTCAGGGACAGAACACGCTCGAGGGAGGGAGGACGAACAGGGAAGACGCACTGGGTGCAGTTGTAGAAGAGCGTCATCGACGTCTGCGCACGCCGGCCCTGGTCGCCAAAGAAGACGCTCCTGCAGGCACACACGAGTCAGTCTCGTCGCCGAGTGCGTACGACAGGACGAGAGAGACGAGGGCGCACTCGGTGTTGTGGCTGCGCGAGCGGGGCGAGGCAGACACAGAGAGGCGTTAGTTGCGCAGGTTGCGACTCGCTAGCCACCGACTCTCCCTCCTGACGACGAGAGAGAGAGGGGGGCGGGGAAAGGAGGCAACAGAGGGCTGACGCACCACCTCGGGCACTCGATGTTGGACCGTGGCTGCGCGCGCGACCCGAGGTCAGTCACTTGGCCGCGGACGAGAGGGAGCGGCGGACGCACCAAGGTCGGGTCCGTGTCGAGGTCTTGGGTCACACCGGCCGTCTCTCTGCGGGCGAGCGAGGTGAGTCAGTCGCAGGTCGGGGAGAGGAAGAGAGAGAGAGAAGAGAGGCGGACGCACTTTGCTGCGACGATGAGGTCGTGTTTGTAGACGCAGGGGTTGTGGGTCTCTTCCTGGTACTGGCAGTTGCGGCACGAGTAGAGCAGGACGTGGTGGACCTTGTCCTCCTGCGGGCAAGCGGGGGAAGAGTGAGCGAGGTGGGGTTGGACAGAGGAAGAGAGGGTCGGGACGCACTTTAGGGTAGAGGAGGTTGGAGCTGGATGGGCGAAGAGCACGAGCAGGGCGTGGGTGAGGGAGGTGTGGACGTTGAGCGAGATGAGGTGCGGAGGGAGGAGGAGGAGGAGGGAAGAGTCAGCGCGAGGTGGTGTGGCATGGCGCGCTCGTCGAGGTGGACGAGGCTGACCACTCTCTGCAGAACGCGATCGAGGCCATCTTTGTGTGCGTAGCAGGGGCAGAGAGCGAGAGACGCAGCCGAGCCGACTTGGGAGCGACGACCGGACCAACCCTCCGCCGCCCTCTGCTCCCCCCTTGGACCACTTCCTCGTCAGGCTCCCGGACTGTGAGTTGACACCTACCGACCTCGACTACACCGACACCACCCTTCGACAGCCCCATCCCGCCCACCACCGCCTCCCGCCGAGCCTCGAAGCGTCTGCGCTCGGCTCTCGAAAACCTCGCCGCCCTGCACCTCCCCGGCGCTCCTCCCGGCGTGTGCGCCGCCCTCCGTTCGGCCCGGTCCGAGTGCCGCTCCGACTCTGGCCCACAAACGGCGCCAATCGGGCGAGCGAGACGGCCGCGCGTCGAGCGGGACAAACTGCGCTCCGAGGAGGTGGTCGTCCGGGCCACGCCCGGCTCGCAGTGCGGCTCGTTGCGGTGCGGGCAGGGTCCAGGACCTCGGTGGCAGGGTCGCAGGGACAGCAGATGCGGTCCACGCCTCGTTCGAGGGCGGCGAGCTGACCCCGCTCTCCTCCCCCCCTCTCCTCCTCCCACTCTCGCTCCTCTCGCCTCGCCCTCGCCCACCCCCGCTACAGCGACATGCCGTCCAACAAGTCCTTCCGCACCAAGGTTGTCCTTTCCAAGGCTGCCAAGCAGAACCGGTCCGTCCCTCTCGCCTCCACGCCGTCCTCGTCGTCCTCGCGCCTGACCCTCGCCCCCTCTCTCCACAGCCCGATCCCGCAGTGGTTCCGCCTCAAGTCGGACACCAAGATCCAGTACAACGGTGCGTCCCCTCTTTCGCTCCATCTGCGACCCACGGGCGACGCGGCCGTCCTCCCCCACCTCCCCGACGTCCTTCCACGGCCGCTCACGGGTCCTGACTCTCCTTTTCTCGCCCTGGACCACAGCCAAGCGCAGGCACTGGCGTAGGACGAAATTGGGTCTCTGATTGGGTCGTACTACGCGTTCGGCGCCGCCGTGGCCCCCTGCAACGTTGCCTCGTCTGCAGCTCAAGAGCAACGAGAGCGCTGCGCGAGCCCGCAAGGACTTCAGCAAGCTGTGCCCCCGCTTCTGCGGTGTGCCGCTCCATCTCGCCCCCGCCGAATCTCGCTTGGCGAGATTCGGCGACTCGCCCGCGTCCGCTCTCCCTGTCGGCGAAACTAGCTCGCGCACGCTCCCCGTGCAAAAAGGCCCACCTCGCTGTCGCTCCCTCTCCTCTCTCCTTTGCTCCCACCACTCGTTCAGCACGACATGTCGCGCCCTCCTCCTCTCTCGACGCAGGAGAGCCCGACCAAGCGTGCCCGCACCGAGGGCCCTCTCCCGACGCCCGTCTCCCCCTCCCCGTCGACCACCTCCCACCGTCCGTCACTCGCTCTCGCCGCCACGCCGGCTCCCCTCGTTCAGCCCTCCCACCTCTCGCACACGTCCAGCACGACCAGCACCACGGCCTCGACCTCGACTCGCGCGCCGCAGCAGTCGGTCGCGTCGACCCCTGTCGCCGGACAGTCCGCGGCGACGCTCCACGGCAATTCCGCGCCGGCCTCCGGACCCTCTGCCGGCTCGACGACGTCGACGCCGCCGACGGCCGACCAGCGCATCCAGCGCATGGAGCAGTACATCGTCCAGGTCCGTCCCGCTCGTCCCCGTCCTCGCCGCACGGACCCGTCCTGACTTTCTCCTCCTCCTCCTCTCCAGGAATGCGCCGCTCGCGAGTTCGAGTCGCGCACCGCCTTCCTCGCCGACTTCGAGCGTCGCATGGACGCTGTGTCGAGGTCGGTCAACTCGCCCTGCGGCAACCACCTGCGCGCCCAGCCCGGTCAAGCTGCTGTCGTCGACGCTCGTCGCGACGTCTTCCTCCGCGACGGGTACGAGCTCATCGGCCCGTTCGTCTACTCGCGCCCGATGAGCACCAACGAGCTCGGCAAGTCTGGCGCGGCGCCCGGCACCGTCAAGCTCTTCATCGAGTGGAACAAGCTGCGCGTCGGGCTCGACGCCGAGATCGAGGAAGACGATGCGCAACGTCTTCAAGCGCTCGAGCGGCGTCCACAGCACCACAGAACAACAACACGACGATTACGCCGACCAACGACTACTGGTGGATGTGCGTGTCGCCGATTGCTTCGTCGTCGGTTGTCGCTCACCTCTCTCGTCCTTTCGCAGGTCGCACGTCCTCGACCAGATCCCCTTCATGACGGCCGCCCTCTCGCACGTCCAAGCCGTCGCTCAGCCTCGCGTCCTGTACGGCCCTGGCGACCGCAAGCTCGACGACATGATGGGCTTCAACGAGCTCCAGCCGGCGTGGCGCGACCTCGAGATCGAGCTGCGCACGAGCCTCGAGCAGCACGGCTTCGACAAGAACGTGCGTCCCTCTCTCTCTGTCTCTCTCTGTCTCTCTCTCTCCCTTCGACCTGTCCCTGACCATGGTCGAGCCTCGTCGTCGTTCGAGCAGGCTCGCGTCGAGATGCGCAAGCCCGACGAGCTCTGGTGGGGCAAGTCGCGTACGGTCCCGAGCGTCGTCTACCCGTCGGGCCTGCAGCTCTGGCGCAAGTTCCTCAACGTCCCGCAGCTCGCCACGATTGTGCGTCTCCTCGTCGCGGCCTGCTCAAGGTCGACCTCCCTGACCTCGGTCCTCGCGCCCGCAGGATGGCCCGCAGACGTTCGCGCTCACGATGAGCAACGCCGGCGTCATCGAGCAGCTCCACAAGAACGCGCTCGCCCTGCCCAAGTCGTCGATCATCGTCCCGCCCATCAACTTCTCGTCGGTGCGTCCACTGCTCGCGAACCTCCTCGCCGACGCCTTCCTGACCCCTCGCCCTCCCAGATCGACTACTTCGCGTCCAAGGTCCAGCGCCCGAAGCCGTCGGACGCCTCGATGGCCGTCTCGCGTTTCGAGGTCTGGTTGCGCTTCTTCGCGGCGCTCAACACCACCGCCGGCCCGCCCAAGTCGATGCTCAGCGCCGGCCTCATGTCGTCGCCGCTCGGCGGGATCGACTGGACGTTCTTCTCGAGGGTGCGTCTCTCTGCGCCTCTCCCTCTCCCTCTCCCTCTCCCTCTCCCTCTAGCGAGGGATGGTGCGAGGGGAAAATGGTGGTATGGTGCGAGGGGCAGGGGCGGCACCGACGGGGGACGGGCGAGCCCAGAACCGGCGATGAGTGCGCGAAATGCCCGCCAGAAGGCCTCAAACTAGACAAATGAGGAGGTTAGGGAGGGGTAGGGGAAGATGGGTGGAATCGGCCAGGGGGGGGCAGGGCTGGGAAACCAAAGCGCCGGGTCCGCGATGGCGGGAGGGCGGGCTCGAGCAGCAACGAGGACGAAAGATACAGAGGACGGATGAAGGGGACAGGGAGAGACGAAGCAGTAACACGACGCCCCCTGCCCGCG